TCAAGACCCCACGGTGGGCGCCAAAATGTTTGACCCGGATTAGTACCGGGGATTAGTGTGGAATCTTGATCCGGACTCCATCGTCTGATCTCCTCGGGAGTGGAAGAAACCTGTGGGGAGTCGGGGACGGCCCCTGTGATCTACACTCCAACGGTCAAGTTAGAATAGATATATGATAGAGTGTAGAGAGAAATGTAGAGAGAGATAGAGTTTAGAGAGAGAACCATAAGTGGTAGAATGTGGGAAGGGAGAGAAGAAGTCCCTTTGCTTGGAGGGTCTGGCCTCCTTGTATAGGAGTCGGAGGCATCCAGTGGACGCCTCCCGTTGTCATGGACGCCTCCCGTCGATGGGCGCCTTCCGGTGAATGGACGCCTCCCAGTGGTGGACGCCTTCGGGGTAAAAGACGCCCCCGGGTGGACTGGACTCTAGAATGGGCTTGGGCCCAAGGTGAGACGCTTTGTGGTGGGCTTGGGCCCGTATCAGGCGGGTTAATACTAGACCCAACAGTATCATAACTGATTTGTCCTTGAGGTCACGTGTTCAAGTTCTCACGACCCCCAATTAATATAAACCGTTGTCTTCAAGCACATAGTATGGCGGACCTGTGCAAACTTCAACCCTATGAGTCGGCTTCCGTTAGGCGTGTTAGGAAGTGGTTCAGTACCATACACGGGCGCCTCTCCCAACAGCTCGAGTTATTGAGATCAATTGGTTTATGTCATGGTATCATAGCCTGATTTTGCCAAGTGGTCGTGTGTTCTAATCTTCACGACCCACAATATTAAAGGTTGATTAAATCCCATGGGTTGATTTTTGTTCTCATGAACATGGGAATACACAACCTATTAATTTAATTAAGAACCAGTTCCTCCCTTTGGATGCATCGCTTACCAAGTTTGTTGAATACTGATGAATGACCTATTAATTAGTAGTGAACCGATTGTGACAGCAGCGATTAACATAAATTACCTGTTCGTTTTCAACGCCAACCAAACCGGGCCAAACTCTAAATAGTTTGGGAAATTTCGGTGGAAGTGTCGTATTATGGGAAACTTGATAGTGGTAACTGCTAAGAAAGAAACTACGTACACTTGTCGTCTGTACATATATTAGCAGTAGCAAGAGCCAACTATAAATAAACATAATAAGCTGGCGGGGAGAGCTTTCAGTTTCTCACACTACTACTGCTGCTGCGTATGTTGAGAAGCTATTCTCCCTATTTTCGACGCCAACGAGTCACTAACGATAATGCTGCTACAACTGTAGCAGAAGACTGTCCTGGTCACTAACGATAATGCTGCTGCAACTGGAGCATAAGACTGTCATGGTCACTGGGGCAACTGGGTTTCTCGCAAAGAGTACGTAATATCTTTTTTTCACAATAAACGTTCAACTTTTATTCCACATCCAACTCGAAAAAAGCGAGAATACACTTAATCACGAATACTAATCCAGTCAACAGGGAGAGAGGATCTAGCAAGTGATCGTGCAACCCAATCAGCTCTAACATTAAAAGCACGTGAAACTGCCTTGACCTTCACTTGAGGGTTCGTTCTTAGGATTGAGACCATTAATCCAATCCAGGCAGCACCTCGCCAAGGCCAATTTCTTGGCTCATCCGAGAGAGCTTTGACAATCAGTTGGCAGTCTGACTGGACAACACATTCAGTTCCATATTCTTGGGCTAATTTGAGACCTTCCAGAAGGGCTTTTGCTTCGGCTTCGAGTGGGGTGGAACAAAGGAGAGTGTTAGCTCGCCCATCACGCACTTGTCCGTGGTGGTTAGTGACCACAACACCATATGCCGCCGGCTGAGAGTCGTTTAAAAACGACCCATCACAGTGAATCACAAAATTGTGATTGCTTGGCGGTGGAGAATTGAGTGATTGGGCTCCCCTGAGCTGAGTAGAAGGAGAGTCATTGGGGGGACTCCTCGGGCAATTAGTCCATTCCGTGAATTCCTTGTAAGTTCGCAAAATAACGTTCGGATGCCAATGGATCCGATTCTTGAACACACAATCATTCCTAGCCTTCCAGATATTCCAGCAAAGGAAAATAACATGAGTGAGAGCTCCTGGTTGGATAGAGTCCTTGAGTAGGTACAACCAGTCTAGGAAAGCAGTATACTGAGTTGGTAGCGGGATGTTTGGGAAGATAACTTCCCATGATTCCCTCGCATGGGGACATTGAAAGAGGCAATGGAAAAGGGACTCAATCGGCCATTGGCACACCTGGCATGTGGCATTAGGGGAGCATTTCCTATGCATGAGTCTCTCTTTTGTTGCCAGCCCATTCCTGGAACATCTCCAGACAAAGAATTTGAGCTTAGGCGGGATATTCAGACTCCACATCCATTTCCATTTCTCCACATTGTCCATCGTTTGGGGATCCGTTACTGACGAGTGAACCGCATGATATGCTATCTTGACCGTAAACTTTCCATCTTCATTAAATCTCCGCGCCCAGAAATCCTTGGCGTCCTCCTCCCCAATCGGAACTCTCAAAATAGCATCTCTTTCTGGAGGGGACCTGTCCCTGGATTAACTCATCATTCCACTTTCTGCTTTCCGGATTAATCCAGATACTTACTCTTGCATGATTTTGTGGACCACTCTGGATGCATGCTCTGGGAAGGAAAGGAACCCACGGATCTTGATCAATCCATGTATCATCACCATCCAATAACTTTAACAGCTCCTAGATCAATGACCTTTTAGACTCCCAAAGACTCGCCCAGATCCAAGATGGTTTGCTTCCTTTTTTAGCCGAGAGAAAGTTGCCTCTAGGGAAATAAAGTCCTTTGATGAGTCGACTCCAAAGTGTATCAGTGTTGTTCATAAGCCTCCAGGCTTGTTTTCCAAGCAGGGCCATATTGAAATCTCTGAAGCTTCGGAAACCCAAACCTCCATCTGATTTTGGGGTACAAAGAACCTCCTTCCTGCACCTGTGGAGGTTGCTTTTCTGCATCGACCCTGACCAGAAAAAATTGCTAAGGAGAGAATCCATTTTCTTCGTCAGGGAAACTGGTAGAAGGAATAGGCACATGATGAAAGAAGGGATGGCCTGGATAACTGACTTGAGAAGGACTTCTTTTCCTCCATGTGAAAGAAGCAGGCTCTTCCACGCTTCCCCCATCTTTTCCATCCTTTGGATAAGGAAGTAGAATGTTTCCTTCTTCGAATTCCCCCATTCTGTTGGGACTCCAAGATATTTAGAATGGCAATTGGAGGATGCAAATCCAATGTGATTGATGATATCATTCTTCTCTCCCGCTGGAACATTCGCGCTGAAGAAAATAGAGGATTTATGTACGTTGACTTCTTGACCATTTATTGCCCCATAGTCGTTGATGACCTCCATAATTTTTCCAGCCTCTTGGATGTTAGCTTTCCCAAATATGACAGTGTCATCCGCAAAAAGACAGTGAGTGAGAGTAGGACATCTCGAGTTGAGTTTAATTCCCTTGATTCGTTCTTCCATTACTGCTTTGTCAACCAGGAACGTGAGGGCATTAGACATAAGGATGAAGAGAAAAGGGGAAAGAGGGTCTCTTTGTTTAATACCTCTCGAGGGACAGAAGCTCTTTGAGGCTTCTCCGTTGAACAAAACCGAGAAGCTAACTGTACGGATGCAAGCGCTGACCCATTTGCACCATCTCTCCTCGAACCCATATTGCCTTAGGAGGGTCTCCAGAAATTCCCACTCCACCATGTCATAAGCCTTTTTCATATCCAACTTCATCATCATATCTCTTCTGTTGCCGAGCTTGTGATTCTTGAAATGGTGAAGAGCTTCATGAACGATAATGATATTATCTTGGATGAGGCGACCGCCTGTGAATGGTGTTTGGAGCTCTGAGACCAAAACGGGTGTCCATTTCTTCAGTCGGGTAGCCATAATCATTGAGATGATTTTGTACCTGAAGTTGCAGCAGCTGATGGGTCGAAATTGGCCTATTGTCTCTGGGTGGTCCACCTTTGGTACCATCACAATGTGCGTATCATTCCACCCTTCAGGCATACTAGCTGATTCAAAGAAATCCTTAACTTCTCTATAGAGGGTTTCACCCACAGTATCCCAATATCTTCTATAGAATTTACCCGAGAACCCATCTGGCCCCGGTGCCTTTCTCGCTTCGAGAGAGAACACTGCTCTCCTAATCTCTTCCCTAGTCACTGCTGCACACAGGTCCTCATTCATCTCTCCTGTTACCATCACTGGGAATCCCTGAAGGAGGTGGGTAAACTCAGTGGTATCTCTAGCCTTGAAAAGTTCTTTGAAAAACCCAACCGACAAACCCTTCAGCCCTGCCTCATCCTCAACCCAATTCCCCACCTCATCTTTAAGGCGAAGGATTGTGTTTCTATGCTTTCTGTGAATAGTGCTAGAATGGAAGAAGGAAGTTTTTTTATCCCCTTTTTGAAGCCAAAAAACTCTAGAGCGGTGACTCCAAAATGCTTCCTCCTCAAGCCAAATTCTGGTCAATTCTGCTGTAAGGATCTTCTCCTCCTCCACATTTTCTGGAATTACGTCGTGGTTGCTGGAGAATCTCAAGTCTGGACACGATTTCACTCTCCCTAAGAATACTATTCTTATGGAAATCTTTCGCCCATGCCTTCAGTTCTCTCTCGCATTTGTTTAACTGATTGCTAGATGGCCCTCCTGGATCCCACTCCCTGAAAACAATCTCTTTGCATTCCTCTTTTTCCAGCCATCTCTCGTCCACTCTGAACGGTGTTCTTCTTCTTCTTCTGTTGCCTTGATAGTGGAAGTCAATTCTGATTTGGCAATGGTCAGAAGCCACCATCTTTTCATGGAATAACACCGCTTCTCCAAACATCACTCTCCAAGATGGCGAGCACAACACTCGGTCCAATCTAACTCTAACCAAATATGGGCTAGAGCGTTTATTGGACCAGGTGAAAGGGTTGCCTTTAAAACCAATGTCTATGAGGGCATTGTCAAAAATGAACCTTTTGAAAGGTTCCACATTCTCGTACCTAAGAGGGCACCTCCCTTCATTTTCATATTCATAAATAGCAGCATTAAAATCCCCCTATTATGACCCAACTATCATCTCTACTACTCCGAAGAGAGCTTAAGTGCTCCCAAAACTCCTTCTACCAACAACCGTAGTCGGGGCATGGACAAAAGTACAAAAGAACTTCTTCCCCATGTCGATGCTAACATCCATATAATACTTATCACTACTGATTACATTAATACTAATACCCTCTTTCCACCATAAAGCGAAGCCCCTAGAAGAGTTGATCGGTTCTACATACTCTTTATTGGGAAAAGCTCTAAGACTTCTCCTATGTTCTTCCTTGAATTCTTCATTGTTGCTAGTTTCCATAAGGAAGACAATAGAAGGGCCATGACGTCGAATAAGACGCTTAGCATAACTTCTCGTAAGGGATTGGCCAAATCCCCTACAATTCCAACTTACAATACTCATGGATCGTGAGGTGGCTTTTGGCGAACCATCGCTGCCCTTGTGTCACTTTCTTCTCCATCCCCTATGCCTTCACTTGTCGATTGAGCTTTGTTCCTTTGGTGCTTCTTCTTCTTACTCCTTCCTTTCACTCCTCCTGCAAACATAGAGCTCGATGGGCTCAAAGTAAATCCAGACCCTTCATTAACCCCCTGGCCCACTTCTCCTGGGCTTAGGATAGATTGGCCCTTTCTTTTCTTAAAATTTTGACCCATATCTCCTTCCAGCTCCCCTTGAATGTGTTGGTATGGACTCTGGGCCTGGGTGTTGAATGGCATGGGCTCCAGGTCAATTCTTGGGCAGGCCTGTGAGGTGGGGTTGCTACGTAATATCAATGCAGTCAAAAGCGAGTTTTATGCAGAAACGTTTTGGCGATCTAGAAGTGTAAAATCGTAAGTTTTTAAGTTCTAAAGCGGAGTTTTTAACTACATAAGTTATAAAAACTGAGATTTTGTGTAGAAGCGTTTTAGTGATCTAGAAACGTTAGGTAGCGTACGCCACATAGAGTTTTACTATTTAGACCATGATTTAACCGGAGTTTGGGGCATAATACTATACCCTAACCTCTAATGGATGAACCACAATCCCTAATTTTCTAACTCAAACCATGAGATTCGTTTAATCTTAAAAAGAAAATCAATGATAATTTCGACGAATCAGAAGCGTTAATTTTCATTTTAAAATTAAACGAATCTCATGCTTTGAGTTAGTGAAAAAGGGATTGAGATTTAGTCATTAGGGATTAGGATATAGTATCATGTCATAAATTCCGGTTAATTCATTGTCTAAATAGCAAAACTCAATAGGGCGTACGCTAGGTTACTGTACGCCCGGGCGTACGCTAGAATGTGGTATAAGATAGTTGTTCTTGTTACTATGTGGTATTAATTATAAGATTTATTGGTAAACCTGGTCTCTAAAAAAATTTGGCTGGAAATTGGGATCAACTGTTTGTTCACAGTTCTACCATCAATGCTCTGCTCTTTCATATTGCAGTATTTGTGGAGAAGATAATAAGAATCCAACCCAATGCGAAGAAGCTCTACCTTCTCTTGAGAGCTTCCAATTCATCCTCCGCCGATAAGCGCTTCCACGACGAGGTAATTAGCTATTCATGGAATTCTTTGCCTGCATGCACGTTGGATTTGCATTTCTTTCAGTTTTTCAATAATGTATAATCAATGGAAGGTGAATAGGGATGGCAATGGGTCGAGACTAGTTGGGTAAATTTGATTCAATTGTCATGGTTCATATGGGTATTGGGTTGGATCCAAATGAACTGATTATTGGATCTGAGCGTTGGATTGGAATTGAGTCTGATTTGGGTCAACTCATTTTGATCCGACCTAAACGAATCTATTTATCGGTGCTTGGGAAGGAGGTGTTTAGGGTTTTGAAGGATGAACGGGGAGCAGGCTTCCAGTCGTTCATTTCAGAGAAAGTGGTGGCTGTTGCTGGAGACGTTTCTTCTGAGGATTTGGGGATAGTGGACCTCCATTTGAAGGAAGAAATCCTCAAGGAAACTGACTTGGTTCTTAATTTTGCAGCCATCACCAAATTTAACGAAAGGTTCACTTTATACCACAATTGATCTTTTTTTGTTTTCATTTTGTTCAAGATCTACATGTTGTCAGGGAAACCGTATGGAAACCGTATGGAAGAGAACGATTGAAGGCGTGATTAGATCACTCTCCTTAGAGTGTTTATTTGCCCCCACTACTTTGTTGCTGGTAGGATTTAGGTAAACCACCCCCAGGAGTCCCTCCAATCAAAGTCAGAAAGCAGCACCTTTCTTGACTTCTGTGTTTGTGTTTTTGAAGAAGGAAAAACCAGGAGAAGAAGAAGAACGTTGGAACAGAAATTCGGCTGCAGAAGACTTTTATAGTGAAAATGGCAGTTCCCTTCCGAACGGTTGCGTCGTTTCAAATAATTAATTAGCCAATAACTAAGTGCGTAGTGCGATTTAATATGTCCAATTAAATAGCCGACACTTTTTTCAAAAGCCCACTAACCACTTTATCCAATAACTAAAGTGGAAAGCAAACTTAAAAACAACTTGCACTTTCTTTCTCCCACCAATGTGGTATTTCGTTTACTATTTGACTACTCTAACACATGTTACAGTTTCCTCGTGTTCATATTACTTTGGCTGGCATTTGATCATTTTAAGGTACGATGTCACGCTTGGGACAAATACTTCTGGAGCTTTGCACGTGCTCAACTTCTCTAAGAAATGTGCCAAAATCAAGTTGCTTGTCTCTGTCTCAACTGTTAATTCAATAAAGCAAGTGAATCATGCATGCAAAAACGAAACAATACAAACTTTTGAATATGAAAAAAACATGAAGGGTAACAGATGAAGATGGCTTGACTAGATTGGTCTTTCACTTTTATGAAAACAACGATTACTGATGAAAAAGACGAAAAAAATGTCCTAAAATTCATATTATTGAAACAAAATGGCATGGTATGAAAATTCGGATAACCAAAACCAGACTGGTTTTATAGGCTTATCAATTTTTCGTTAATGGGTAAAAAGCGATAAGCCTTTAACAATTTCGGCTAAACCGAAAAATCGTTAATGAACATATATAAAAAACCGATAAGCCATAACTTAACCAAAGGGTGCATTTTTTCCCAGTTTTTCGGTTGATTCTGACGAAAATGAATCACTCAAGAGTTCATTAATTTATGGTAACGAAAAATAATAAGTTTTTAACGATCTCAATTTTGATTTCTAATGTTTTTTTTTCGATTAACCGAACCGAACCGCTATCTCTAACGTCATGTCACTCATATGAATTTGAGGACTAAATATTTGTTTGTTTCAATATGACAAGCATATGTTTGTGGGGAAGCGCCGGGGACTCTAATGGAGAAGCCGTTGAGCCTGGGAAAAGCCGCAAGAGGAAGAAAATGAGCTTGTCGCAAAACGGCTGCATCAACTCCATTCCCAAAACCTCTGCCATGCAAAATCTCGGCCTCGAAAGGTAATTATTTTTTTTACGGTAATCGTAAGGAAGTGGTTAAAATACATATATAAATTATTTTTAGTTTTTCAAGAATTCGAGTTATTGGGATGATCAGTTTGTTTGCTAATATGGTATCCGAGTTGGTTTATCTTTGTTGTTACGTTTCAGGGCACATTACTATGGGTGGCCTAACACCTACACATTTACAAAAGCAATGGCGGAGATGGTTATTGTGGATTGGTGGGTTCGTGAATTGGATTAGGGATGATAAACGGTTAGTTGATTTTCGATTTTAATCGATAACCAAACTGATAACTGAATTATTAGTGGTTCGATTTCGGTTAGTGGTTAATTACTAACCACTAATCAGTTAGTTGTTAACCAATAAGAAAATTAATAACCGCCTACTAGTATAACCACATATTTGGAAATTTTCTAAGGGGCAAAATTTAAAGATTCAAAACCAACACAATTTGCAACTCAATTCACACCAATTGCAAAAAACGCTCCACCCAAAGTCTCAAATATGTATAAGAGTAAGAATCTAAAAGTCACGCTTCTCTGATTCTTCATTGTTGCCGACAGAACGAACCTCGCACCCTATCTATGTTTCTTTGGTGTTTTCGAATGATCTTGTGGTGCTTATGTTTGATATATCTTGCTAGTTGGTACTTGCTAATTGAACGAAGACGTTTGATTATTCTTAATTTTATGTGTTGGAATTTGAATTTTAAATTCACGATAGGTGTTGTATTGCATTAATGTTATTTCTTATAATTATGATTTTATGTTAACAATTTAGAAGTGCAGTTAAATTATTTTAGAATATTTGTATGATTATATTTTATTATAAACATGGACACCATACAAAATTTTAAAATAACAAAATAAAATTTTGCCATGTGGAGATTGGTATTGGTTAATGGTTAACTACCAAACTAATCGCTGACCGAATTGATAATAAGCGTTAACTGATAAGTCTTATCGATTTGGATTTTCCGTATGCATCTTTTGCTTAGTGTTAACCCAACCGATTATCACCCCTTGACTAGATTAATGGATATTTGATGATTAAAATTTAGTACCTATACTTTTTATTTTTTACATTTTGATACCTAAATTATATTTTTACGTAAAATATCATTGATAAATTATTTTTTGGTTCTAAATTTTTTTACTATAACATTTTAGTACCTAAACTTTTCAAAATTTACATATTAGTCCAATGTTCAGATATCACTTGGATCCATAAATCCACCATTACATTCGATCCAAACCCATAAATCCACCTATCCTCCAATCTATTTGCTACCTCTGTCTCCACCCGATCTTGTCACATTACGGAGACTATTTCTCTACTAATTTAGTTAAAGATGCGCATTTTCAAATACTGAAAGAAACTACACTCCTTATATACAGAACGGTGGATGGAGTACTTGTGAGCTATGCCAAAGGAAGGCTGAAATGCCTCGCCCATAAACCAGAAGTCGTTCTTGATTTGGTACGTGGGTTCTCGATCGTTCTTCTGCAATCCTCGATCAATCACTTCTTCGATAGATTGTTCTTTCTTTTGCAAACGAATCGATCAATCTTAATCGCATATGCAGATACCAGCTGACATGGTGGTGAATGCAATCATTGGGGTCATGGGGATGGCATTTGCAGAGCAGCATTTGGATCTAATTTACCATTTAAGTTCTTCAATGAAGAACCCGATAAAGGTATCAGATATTCACGATTTCATGTTTACATTCTTTACTAAATATCCGTGGAGAGATCGCCATGGCAAGGAAGTGCAGGTTGCTAAGCTCACCATTTTTAGCTCCATGGCTTGTTTCCATGTTTACATGGCCATTCGTTTTCAACTCCCATTGAAGGTTTGATCCTTTTCCCTATTTTCTAGCTAGCAAAGGTGATTTCTCTTCAAAGCATGCCATATGTTTTTTTTTTTTTTTTTGTGGTAATAGATACTGGGCTTACTGAATGCAATTCTCGGCCGCAAATGGGAAGCAAATTATGTTGCTCTCCGTCGGAAATTCAAATCAGGAATGCGAGTGATCGATCTTTACAAACCCTATTTATTTTTCGAGGGAATGTAAGTATATTTATCAACTCTACTCTTGCTCTTGCATGCAACAAGTGAACTTAGACCATAATCATATAGCAGTATTGGAGGTCTGTCATGTGGCTCAATCATTTCTTGGTCCTTGCTTACAGTTTCGATGACACAAACTTGGAGGACTTGCAAAAAAGGGTCAGGGAATTAGGGTTTTGTGAGAATGGGGATCAATTCAACATGAATTCACGTGATTTTTCCAGAAATAGCACTTTTAAAAAAAAAATTCCAAAAATAGCACCCAACTACGAAAAATTCCAAAAATAGCACACTTTCTGAAAAACCGCTCCCTACCAGTGCGATTTAAGCAAAAACCGCCACCCAGGGGCGCGTTTTTCGATGAAAACCGCACCCCCAAGGCGCGGTTTTGCAGACCGCACCCCCACCATGCAATTTGGTTGCAGATCGCACCCCCAGGGTGCGATCTTTACAAACCCTATTTATTTTTCGAGGGAATGTAAGTATATTTATCAACTCTACTCTTGCTCTTGCATGCAACAAGTGAACTTAGACCATAATCATATAGCAGTATTGGAGGTCTGTCATGTGGCTCAATCATTTCTTGGTCCTTGCTTACAGTTTCGATGACACAAACTTGGAGGACTTGCAAAAAAGGGTGAGGGAATTAGGGTTTTGTGAGAATGGGGATCAATTCAACATGAATTCACGTGATTTTTCCAGAAATAGCACTTTTAAAAAAAAAATTCCAAAAATAGCACCCAACTACGAAAAATTCCAAAAATAGCACACTTTCTGAAAAACCGCTCCCTACCAGTGCGATTTAAGCGAAAACCGCCACCCAGGGGCGCGTTTTTCGATGAAAACCGCACCCCCAAGGCGCGGTTTTGCAGACCGCACCCCCACCATGCAATTTGGTTGCAGATCGCACCCCCACCATGCAATTTGGTTGCAGATCGCACCCCCAGGGTGCGATCTTTACAAACCCTATTTATTTTTCGAGGGAATGTAAGTATATTTATCAACTCTACTCTTGCTCTTGCATGCAACAAGTGAACTTAGACCATAATCATATAGCAGTATTGGAGGTCTGTCATGTGGCTCAATCATTTCTTGGTCCTTGCTTACAGTTTCTATGACACAAACTTGGAGGACTTGCAAAAAAGGGTCAGGGAATTAGGGTTTTGTGAGAATGGGGATCAATTCAACATGAATTCACCAGGAAATGAAATCCAAGACCGCGCATCTTCTTTTACTCCATTAGTCGAGATTTTGCTAAGGTAACATTTGTGATTCAAAATTTTTGTTTGCTGAGTATCTCGATTTCTGTTCGTGTATCCCATCACTTAAATTTATAGTACTTATTCTTGCTACTTTCGAGTTGGAATAGGTATAGAACTTACTCGTAGAGCTTCATCATCCGCCACCACTGCTCTCGCTCTTGCAAGAAGCAATTCGCTCTCTACTATCACTTTGTCCGTCATCTTGTCCATACCAACCAACGCGGAGTTTGCTTTGCTTCCAACATCACTCAACTCACCTGTATTTATCGTAACGTGTAAAACCAAGCAACCTCTAGCATATATATTCATCCTAGTTCAAGACCATAATACTCTCAACAACTCCCATTAGCTCCTATTCTCTTCTGTTACCCTCCTCTCCAGCAAATCATCCTAGTAAACCAGAGATTTCACAAAGTTCATGATTCTATACTTCATGGTTACTCCTAGTCCTAGGCCTTCACTGATACACCAGAACAGAATGTAAAAAGGGAGTAAAAGGAACTCACATGCAAGCCTGAGCAGCCATTTCTCGACCCTGCAGAACCAATCCCAATCAAAAGTAAAATAAGTTGAGCAATCCAACGCCACTCTCCTAAGAGCATGTATTACCTTGCACCAAAACGCCTGCTGAGGAGATAGCAAAAGAGAGACAACCCAAACTTCCGTCTTTAATCGTACCTGCACTATTGTATAAGATGAAGGACAATGAATATAACTAAATGGGAAGTTCAACAGACCCCTGCATCTTCAGAAGGAAAACATTTATGCCAATGATACTGATTCTTACACCAATCCCAGTTCTGTTCCTTTGATTCAATCACCCTTTGGAGACAAAAACATGCAACAGTAAAGAAATTATCGGAATAGGGCAACAAAAGGTTTACTGTGAGTATAGACAATTGTTGCTAATGTAAATTTTCATTTTCTCCCCTTCTCTTCTTTTCTTGTAATTATTTTGCCACCAAAGCAGGAGGTACTTTACAATCACTTTCCCATCAACCAAATGCCTTGCTCCTCGCCCCTTACAGTCCAATCCCTTGGATTACAGTCACCTAAAAGGGCATCAGACAGGTAACATACAGAACTAAAATAGACCCAGTATCCCAACAATGCAGGCCATTCCCAGCTACCTCAAATCTCAAAATGCCACATACATCCTTCAGTTTGATGAAATGAGGAACAACCAGCCTGAAAGCTTTGCCTGAAGAGCCCCTTCTAGCATTTTGAAGAGCAGTTGACAACAAAAGCGAAACATAGACAAAAACAGAATGGTTGTTATGCTGCAGTCCAGCAACTCAAAGATGCCGGATTTACCCCTTCCATTGGTGTCAGTAACCAAAGAATTCTGTAATATAAAATCATGGACAAGGATCCAGTTTTACTGGTCTCCAAAAGCTGTTACAAGTTCACTGAATCCCCGAGAAACTCCTCTACTGAGCAACAATTTTACCAATGAGCTGAATCTTGGTTATCAACACCCAATTCATCTTTCTGCACTATCTTGTCATCATCGTCCAAATTCAATCCATCAGATGATTTAGTTATGACAAAATCCTTGTCAGATGATACAATAGGGTTGGATGCATTGCTGACAGCCACCACAGCAGAACCGGAATCATTTGCAGCAGGGTATTGTACAACATCAGTGATTAAGCCAGTAGCAGCTTCACCTGCTGCCTTTTCTTTAGCACCATCATCCAACTTAAGTCCTTCTGCAAAAGTGTCAGAGACCTTACTAAGGGTCTCATAACCAAGTAAAGCTGAAGAATCCATAGCGAGAATCGTTTCCTGCTTGCTCCTCCTTTCCTTCAAAGTTCTCTCCCGCTGATCATAAAATTCAAAATCATCTAGGATGCATGTATGTGAGTCATGACCCTTGAATATATTCAACATCTCAATCCCATGTTCTAGTTTCACCTGCATCAGTTCCGCATAACAGCAAACAGGTGAGGAACTTTCCAGCAGAACCCAGAATAGTTAACTTATAGGACCTGGCAACGAATCAAAGGGAATAAGAAATAACAATAACACCAATGATTCTGTGTATAGTGGCATCGAGTCACCAACAAACATCCCATAACCAGGTATCATACGCCACAACATAAAACATGTCATGCTAGGAAAGGAGAAGAGAAGTTACATGGCCATATCTCATACAGCACTCATCTAAAAATAAATCTTATACCAACTGGTATGGAGACACGGTACAAATAAGTATGCTAGGAAAGGAGAGAGAAGTTGCATGGCCAAAACTCATACATCACTCATGTTTTAACAAATCATTCCAAGGATGCCAGGGTTAAACAAAAACCTAAATAGCTAACATAAGATACCAGGATGGTTGAAAAATAAACACACTGGACTTCAACTCACATTTAGACTCCATAACTCATGTAAAATAAATCTGATACCAACCGGTATGAGAAATGGTACAAATAAGTAATCAAACCTAAGCCCAGACATCCCACTTGAGACCATATAATTCAATAACACCAACCGGTACAAAGACATAGTAGAAATAAGCAATCATCAAATCCCAGCCTAGACATTGTGTAGCCAATATAGACCATATACTTCAATCAGCAGCTGAACATTTAAGGACTAGAAGACCTTTGAATCCATTGGGGACAATAAGTAAATGGGATGCATTAAACATCCACAAAACAGCCTAAAAAAGAAAACTACCAAGCACCGTTATACGATTATTATTCCTTTGAACCATTGGTAGAAAGCTTCCATTTTCCTGTGACTTCCGGCCAATTACTTACTCAGGCATTGTGCATGTAACCAAGAAGTATCAACGGGCAACAGAACCAGGAGTCTAAGTAATGATCAAAACAGAAGGTTGGACGAAAGAATCATAGAAGTAAACAAATTAAAATACCTCTTGACAGTCTCGACTATGAGTAACAGGTTTGTTGTCATTATTTTCAAGGATTATATGACGAAATCGACTGTTCGGAACATCTTTAACAATATGCCAGCAAACTGGAAACTGGCCACTCCACCTATCTTGCTGCCAGTAATCAGCATCTTTGCCAAAATCCACAGGGCCAAGCATTTCAGCTACCCCGCAGAACTGTCCGCTAGCATTGACCTGCATGATAACATAAGAGAAATTCAAGACTGCGTATTATGAGCACATGACATGATATAATAGCAGGCAAAAAAACAATTATTCAATAATAAAGTAAATGCAACAGCAGAATCGACACCAGTGATCTGATTACATATAAGAGCACGAGTCACAAAGCTCCTAGATGAATACATTTCCGGTTTTCAACTGGAAAGTAAATGGCAAAAACATGAATGTGGAAAGACAGAAAAGGGACTAGAAGAATATTCAGGTTGTCACTCAGCCATGGCCCATAATATTACAAGTTGATCAAAACTCATAATCCACCGAACACCCCTTCCTTATCAGGAGCTAAAATAAAGCAAGCCAGCATGGTGCATGTCACTAACATAATGCAAACTTCAGTGATGATAAAATTAGACTAATTCAACTATCCAAAAATGTAAGAGTATGACTATACACTATAGTATGTGGCAAAGAATAAACATCAAGCAACGTACCGAAAACAAGAGAAATACTGGACATTTAGCATCTATCTCCTTCGCCTGGCTATAAGCAGCATCCAACTTTTTGTTCCCGTGAGGTGTGCTAGCCCATACCCCATATTTGATACTTTTATGCACATTATCTTCACTGAACGACTTTATTATGAAAAACTTTGCATTATCATAATCAGTCGCGAAATCTGGACGGTTGTATAAACTTGACGTAGCATCGGACCCTGATGATTCAACAATCCCATTACCAGAATAAGCTTGCTCAGTGGCAGTCTTACTTCTAACTTTTGAAGCCCGAGGTCCTCGATTACGATCAAACCCAAAAGACTCGCTCGCAAAATAAAGTGATTCTTGCTCTCTTTCTCTTCTTCTACCCTTATCAAGACCGAACCGTGTCCTATCTCCAGCATAAGAAACAGAACTGCCACCAAAGTTAGAGGCCTGATATGATCCCACACGCTGATATCTTCCCATAGAGGAAGTTGAAGTTGATCCATATCCATGCACTGGTCTTTGTTGGGAAATCTGAAAAAATGTATGAAAGGGCAATAACATTATCTCCTTGAAGACTGCTTAAGTAAATTCTCAAGATCCAAAATAAAAAATAAGAGACTGCATATTCATAAAAGTCATCTGATTTACCAAGATTCAGCAAATAAAAGAATAGCTCCAAACCAGAGGAAAAGTTCAGAACTTGAAACCAATTTGCATCACAACAATATTGATCATCCTCCGGAATGACAAGACTACTTACAGCTCCAAAATTTCTTATTTTTGTCACAATTCCAGAACTAACAATGTGTTCAAAGTTGTGGCCAGGGAAAGAAAGGTCACCACATGCCTTAAATTCCATTAAATAATTAAAACAAGTAGCAGTGCCAACAGAAAGTTTTCAAAAGTACAATTAGGATTATACCTATTATATTGAACTCAGAATCATTGCTACTTAAGCGATGAATCCAACAGATCTAAGGTCCTTATTGTCATAAATTATAACAGCACACCATCATTACAGCCTCCACATACATCACTGGCATTTTCTCAAAAATTATTTGAAGAAAGTAGGACTCCTTCATGTCAAACCCCCAATACACCTGTTCATATCCCCAACTTGAGCTATTCAATGGAACCAAGGTTCTAAGCTATATATATGCAGAGAGCAGTAATGCTAACGATACAGTCCAATAAATAAGTTTGTGATTATACCTAATGCAAGACTTTACGCAGAGGACAAAAAATGACAGAAAAACAAACCTGTCCAACATGGTGCTCGTATGGACCCAATATACCCATAGGTTGATGATAAGCAGCAGGAGATGTTAATGGACTGGTACCAGGTGCACCAGACATGCTCCCCCCACCGAAAGACCCATAATGCACAAAGTAACCGGAGCCAGGCCCAAACATCAAGCTTTCATTATTACTTTCTGATGCCATAAACTCCGATGGCGAGACAGGGAAAGAGGAAGGGAAATTTGGGTTATGTTGGGGATAGAAAGATGGTGAGAATGGGATCTGCTGAGGAGAGTATAGTTGACCATCAAGCATTATGGAAGGCACAGGTGTGGCAACAGGAGAGTACTGCCCATATGTCATATCAGGATTGAAGCCATACCCAGAAGGATAAACAAGAGACGAGTTATCATTATATATCACCTGAATCAGAGCAAACATAAAGGGAGCAAAAAGGTCACTATGAGCTTGATGTAGAAACAAGCTACAATAACACAGAAAATAAGATAGGAAGATAACTCACAGGAGACATATGTAAACCCTCAGCAGAGCTAGGATATTGAGCGTATCCATCCCACGTACCGGTTCCATTGCCATAACCTAAATCCAGGACAAAGTAACAGTATGTGATGTCAAAATTTTTAACTCCAACTAACATTACCGCTTGGCTATCTTCTCAATAACAAGACCATAGCAGGAAAAGTCAAATGTGCCATGCATTAAAGTTAAATAAAAGTTCTCACAACTGCAACACTTACAGGTCCATTTAGAGTTAGACTAATTGACAACCGAAGGAACATGGTTTGAGAAAAATATACAGAAGAAATTCAGTTTTGCAACTCAATCTACCGAGAGAGGGCAAGTCATCAAAAAATGAAAACAGGAGCCAATAAACTCACTTCCATAAGAGAAGTTCTGTTCATGATGAGTATAAACATCATTTGGAGGTATAATGCGAAGACCTTCACTTGCATCTGTAGTATGTGGTCGCTCAATGGCAGACCTTGCAGGCCCTATGACTGATACATCAGAGGGGGGATTCCCAGCAACAATCCTTTCATCCTTGGGAGATAGTGGCTGAGATTATATCACGAAGCAATGTGCTAAATCAAAGACAAATTACAATTAACATTAAATCAGAAGACGAAGTGAGACTTTGAGAGAGTTGACTAGATACCTGACCACCCAAGCTATCCCCCTCTGGTGTCTCTCCTGCATCCAGCACTGCCAAGCAACAGGCATGAGCACAAACCAGGGTTAATCATTTACAATTGTATTGTCTCTGAAAAGAATTCACAATATGCTGACAGCAGAATTAGGCGTTCGAGCGCAGAAGCACAAAGCCGGTACTTAGGCAATAAGACCACAACTAACGGCCCACATTCAAGACATAGAGCCCCCAAAAATATCTAAACAATTTCCCCGTCAACGAGAGGGGACATGACTAAATCAAGGAAAAAGGTAGCACGGTTATGCTGCAGTCAGTTCTTTGTCATGGATAGAGTGATAAAAGCTTCACAAACTGCAAATGGGCCAACATCTTGAGAAACCAACACAATTGAAGTAAGACCACAGGACAGGATCCAGTAAACAAACACAGCAGATTCCACCCAAATCTGAAAGGCGAGAAATCTATGTACTGCATTACTCCCAATCAAGCTTCAAGAGGAAACAGAAAACAGTAAAACCCAAGCCACAGTACAAGAGAACTTCCACACCATCGCGCACCAATACGAAAAGAACCGACACAGACGAAAAAGGGAAAGCAGCAGCGAAACAAGGAAAACAAACAATTGGAAGTGAAAACATGATAAACGGGAAATTTACCAGTTGGGATGACCCGATCTTGATCCTTCTGAGGAGCAGGATCCATGAATGATCCCAAATCTGAGATCTGAAGAGTCTCTTTCTGCTTTTTTCTTCCCAATCAACGACAAGGAACTCCAAACAAAAAAACTCAGAAAAGAGGGGGGAAAGGAAATTGAAAAACCCTAACCCTAATTGAGAACCTTCAATGGTGAATCGAGAGAAACCATGGCGTTTGACTTTGGGAGGGAAAAAATCAAAAAGGACAGGACGCAGAAACGAGATCTTTTGGGTTTTGCGACATTCGAATCATATTCAAAATGGATTTTCGACTCTTTATTTAGTTATATATTTATATTTCACGATAAGAGAATATTTAATTATTTCGCCATCATTGTTTTCTGAACTCCGCGGCAATATAATAATTAAGTTTTTTTCTTTATTTCTTTTACCAAAATAAATGTCGTGAGCGAAATTACACAAAGGCCACCGCTTCTGTTTTCATCCGAGCCGTCCATTCTTGCGAAGTGCAAATTATAGACGAACCAGATTTCCTGAGCAGCTACCGTCTCCTTTCCGCCATTTCTTCCCACCACCGCCGCTGTTTTCCCAGCAACCAAACAGAAAATTTCCTTCTGGGGATTCAGATGCTCTGCTCGCCCTGCCCATCGTGTCAGCCGTAAAATTAAGCAGCAAGTAAGTTACTTTCCCTCCCTTTAGTTAGCGAATATGGAACCCTAGAACTGGAAATTACTGGCGAGGCTCGATTTTCTGTAGTGTGAAACTTTCTATTATTATTACTCTGCCGCAGTGGAATCGGAATGTGATGGCGATAAGATCCCAAATCCCGGCAGCGATGGAACGGCAAGGCCGGCGGTTGCGGACGAACATGGGGCAGTATCTTCTCCCCTCGACTTGAACCGGGGGGAGTCTTCTTCTCCGAATTGCGCGCAGGGAACCGCCATTTTTGAATTAGAACCGTATTTGGGCCAGGAATTCGATTCAGAGGTGGAAGCGGTGGAATTCTACTGTGCCTATGCGCAGCGGGTGGGTTTCGCAATCCGGATGGGGGATCTGAATCGGGCTCGAGATGGATCGGTGATCTCTAGGAGGATTGTTTGCAACAAAGAGGGGTATAGGAAGTCCCATAGGTATCAGCAGAAGCAGAACTTGGGGACAAGTGCTGCAGAGCGGAAGCGTCGCCATAGGGCTGTTACTAGGGTTGGATGCAAGGCGAAAGTGGGATTCACGAGGCAGAAATCTGGGAGATGGGTTGTGAAAAGCTTGGTGAAGGAGCACACTCACCCGCTGGCTGCTGCCACCCAGCTTCAAGATCAACGTTCGATGGGGACTCGCGTCTATCAAATTCCGGTTCTTTCCTTACTCCCTGCTATTTTTATTCTGCAGGGTACTCTTTATGCTCTTAGCATCTAGCTGAAACAAACTGCCACCAGCCGTAGATGCTCTATTGAATCCATTAGGAAATGGTAATAGGAATGAAGCATGCTTGATCCTCGAATGTATAAATAGGAAGTGAAGGCAGAATTCATTCTTCTAACTAGTGTTTCCCATGTTATTCATTTTGGGATAATCCTTATGATCATTTGTAATGTGTCTATGTCAGGAACCAACCTCCAGATTGTGAGGTGGTCACTGGCGCTTCTGGTTGTTCTTTTTCTTCGTTTCTTTTTTGTTAGAAGCAATATGGATCTTTTCAGTCGTGGACACGTCTTAACGGACCCTTCTGATGAGGGTTCGAATTATGAGGAGTAGGTTTTGTGCAATAATGAGTCATTCTTCCTGCATTGCTAGAAGGATCATGCGGGTTCGTGTTGTATATGAGAAGAGTTTGTTAGTGTTCCTACAGCAGGGAATTAATTGCTTAGTTAGATTCAAGTTTATTCTTCTTTAGAAGTCGAGACACTATCATCTCCTTGTTTTTTCATGCTGATTGTTTACAAAGGGATAAAGTTTGAGACTTTTGACTTAGATGTTTAGAACTCCAGTCATGTAACATGCGACGAACCCTTTTCTGCACACCTCCAATTAACAGCTTGCTTTTCCTTTTCATTATCTTCTTCATTTTGTTAATGGGATTACTGGTTTTTGCTTTTGCAGGCTGCTGATGAAAGGATCCGCCAACTTAGTGATGAGCTGCTAATGGAAAGAAAACGTTCGGCATCACTCCGAGGATATGTAGATCAGCTACTGAATCACATTGAGGAACATACAGAAGGGCTGACCCGAAAGATCCAACACATAGTAGAAAAAGTAAAGATGATTGACTCTGAAGGGAAAAACAGTTCAAAAGATTCCTAGGAACTGCCTTCACTTTGTACCAATGTGAAACATTGTCGATTGCTTTTCCAATCCATCCATAATTTTCCCTGCTCTCCTCACAGCTGCTTGCCTCTGATCTGTGGCTTCTGTAACTACGGAAACCTGAATGAATGTGTATATGATCGAAAAGCTCCATTATAATTCTCTGCAAAATGTGCAGCAGATGAGGGGAGTACGTGATGCAACGTCCAACCTGGGAACAAGCTGCAGCATTTATGTGTTCTGAAAACTAAATCGTCCTGGGTGATCTGACTGGTTCAACCATAGCTCGGTCTAGTTTCAAGTTTCATTAGCCAACAGTGTTCTCCATTGTTGATATACCATTTCTCCTCTGTCCTAAAAATGATCGATTGAATCCATAATTTGTTGGAAAATGCTTTCAGCAATTTGGAACATATCTAACTCGAGGAATCAATCATTGCCGAGTCAGATGATTTCAATGCAACAAATCGAACTCAAAGAATCAATCATTACCGATTCAGATGATTTGAATCAACTCAAAATGAAAGAACTGATATGATATTGCTTGGATAAGAGGACAGGGTGAACAGAAAACACCACAATTCCATCAAATCTGTGAGTCATATTATCCGCTGCCCCAACCATCGATGACAGTTATTTTGGTTCTTCTGGTCGGACCTCGAACCCGAGGTCCGTCCTATTCTTCTATGTCAACCGTACAAACTATAATCAATCGCAGAATCATCACCAGCACCACAAGCTGCGTGCTAATGATCATATACACCCATTCTCATGAACACACCAGCAACTGAGATATACAGAGAGACCACCAGCAAAACCTACAAACAAAACTCAGCTTCTCCAATGCCATCTCTTCTTTGCTTCAACTGCCCAACTTAAAAGCATCAACAAAGAGCCCCAAGCAGACGCCAGCTTTCCAAAAATTCAACATCCCAACAAAATACCTGAACCTCTCATCTTTCGATAACGAAGCAGGTCTGATCTTCCCATACATGAGCACCCCAATCCCTTCAATCGCCGCAACCACAACACCAGCAACCAGCACGTCCCAGTCCCCTGTCTGCCCCAGTATCGTAGCCAGCGCGTTCGCTGTGTAGAATCCCAGCAGCAGGAGGAACACCTTCATGGGGAAGTTCTTCCTTGTCGAATTCAGCTTATCCAGTAGCTGCCTCCCACCCGCACTGACTATCCGCCCCAGCCTCGTACCGCCAAGCCCCGAACCATCTCCACCGCCATCGCCCCCATTGACGTTCTGCTCTCCATTTCCGGGTAACCCACCGCCCGTGTTCAATGCCAAGGATATTCTCCACCACCGGTGCTGTCTAGGTTTTAGTCTAGTGATCTGAATCCTAAAGGGAAAAAGAGAACTCAGACCAAAGTGGGATGGATCCTATTGCATTGTGGAATATGGCATTGAGCTGGGATTGAACTTACTATCACTTGATCATTGTAATCAAAGTCAGAAGTAGGTTGGCTCTTATTGAATTCAACTCTACTGAGTGAAGGGAAATATGATACCTCCTGTTGTTATCAGGGAAAGGCGGAAACTTTACGCCGCTGGTTGGAGTTTGGAACAGTGGGACGCTCCAGCTCTGCAGCGCACAAGGAAATTGCACCATGGAGAAAGGGGTTTTCCCTACATACAAGCGCAATGTTGGAATACCGGTTGTTAGCTCGTCGGAGGGAAAGGGGGGAAGAAATGGCGCAAAGATAAGGGGAAAGGGATCTTAGGGAATTAAGGAGGCTGCTTACCGTTATTGCGGGGGACGGTGGCGGGCGAGGCGGGAGCGACGGCGGGCGGTCTGAATGGAAGTGCGGGAATTATCGGGCAGAGCAAGAGGGTCAGCGTGGTGGTGGACTGGTGGTGACTACTGACTAGGGTTTGGACTGGAAAAAATGGAGGAAAAATGGCGTTCAGTTGTAGAATGGCGGAGCCGGGCTAATTAGGTGTCATGTGAGGACGGTTGTTAAACCGTTTTAAGTCGTTGAGTTCGTTAAATAAGTGGTTTTAAGATTTGATAATTTAATTGAAATTCAATCTGTTTGATCGGTTTTATATATGTTCTAAAACTATATATAAATAAAATTTTAATTTAAAATTTTAATGATAGAAATGAGATTTACTATCATTTAATAATTTTACGTTTTAAGTATTTATATCTATCTACAAAAGTTATAGGGTAAAATATTTGGGGTACCACTAAAATATGAGAATTGGGTAGCTATATATCACTTACGTAAGAATAGGGCGTCGGGCGTCGAGTGCCACTAATGTCATTGAATTGTGCATCCGTTCATCGCGAACCTCCTCCTAAACTCTTAACTTCCTAATTCTGTATACCATAGCCACAATCGTAGCCAAATTCAGTAAAGGGAGAAAGAGAATAGTCGGGCAACACAGTAAGAGCCATATCAACGTCACCGTCGAACATCCTCACTCACATGTATCCCCCGTCATTGTTGAGTCTGGTACAATTGGTTCTCCGGAGTCATTACCGAGTTCAACGGCGTGGCCGCGACGAATGCTGTAACATCCCGAATCTTTTCCCGATGAAGATATTGTCCGCTTTGGGCCTCGACCCTCATGGTTTTCGACTTGGGGTACAATTCAAAGTGACTTCCCATAAGGTCACTCATCCTTGTTGTACTCCACACTGAGCACGTTTAACTTCGGAGTTATCACAAGAACTCCTCAATTTCACCCCAAAACGCGTCTTGTTAGTTAAAGCCGGTTTCCTACTTATGAACCATGGATCTCTCTCGTGCTTTGTCGATGTGGGATTTGCCTAAGGTGTTACATATACCCCCCTTGGGACTCAACGCCCTCGTTGAGGTTTTCCCCACCATCGTTCAAGAGGGACGCTGAGAGGCTCCGATACCACTTGTAACATCCTGAACCTTTTCCCGACGAAGATATTGTCCACTTTGGGCCTCGACCCTCATGGTTTTCGACTTGGGTGCCAATTCAAGGTGACTTACCATAAGGTCACCCATCCTTGTTGTACTCCACACTGAGCACGTTTAATTTTGGAGTTCTCACAAGAACTACTCCATTTCACCCCAAAACGAGTCTTGTCAGTTAATGTCGGTTTCCTACTTATGAACCATGGATCTCTCCCGTGCTTTGTCGATGTGGGATTTGCCTAAGGTGTTACAAATGCACTCACCTGTAGAGTCCGAAATTTTTTGACATGTTGCCATTAGCTATGACCTAAGGAAGTAAGGAACCATATTGAGCTGGGTAGCCAAATCTTTCAAAATATAAAATAGTTATAGTTAGTAATTGCATAACTCTTTATTAATTAAAATATTAAATTTTTGGAATGGTGAGTGCTACATGTCTAATCTTTCAAAATATAAAATAGTTATTATTAGTAATTGTCTTTAATTAAAATATTAAATTTTTGAAATGTTGAGTGATACTTGACTATGAATCAGGCATTTGAACTCGCACAGCTATCAATGACATAAGGAACCATTTTGAAGTGATTCACCAAACCTTACAAAATATAAAATAATTATAGTTAGTAATTGTGTAACTCTTTCGAAATATAAAATAGTTATAGTTAGTAATCGCGTAAGTCTTTTTCTAATTAAAATACCAAAAATTTGAAAGGTTAATTGCTATTTCTCTCCTCCAAATCAGGCATTTGAACTTGCACAGCTATCTATGTCATAAGGAACCATATTGAACTGATTAACCAAACCTTTCAAAACATAAAATAATTATCGTTAGTAATTGTGTAGCTCTTTCGAAATATAAAATAGTTATAGTTAGTAATCGCGTAACTCTTTTTCTAATTAAAATACCAAAAATTTGAAAGGTTAATTGCTAATTCTCTCCTCATAATCACGCATTTGAAGTTTGAACACAATGGTCCCGGCGGGGCTTGAACCCGCGACCTTCGGCTCATAAGACCAACGCTCTAACCAACTGAGCTACGGGACCAATTTGTTAATTTAATTTCATGGAAAATATTTAAAATAAAATCTTCAGAGATCCACAGGTCTTGAACCAAAAACCTTCGGACCTCCATAAGAGCAACGCCCTAAAACCAGATAAGCTACTAGACCAATTTCAGTTTATTTAAAGTAAAAGTAACATGCATAACTTCAGTTCACGAAATTGGCTTGGCCGCAAGGGGTGGAGATAATTTTCCGTGCATAGAATGATAAAAGGTAAAAACTAAAAAACTAAAACCAACCAATCCTAAAAATACTATCAATTTGTATAAATTTAATGTTGAGGATTTCAATGGTCTGATTGAGACAATGTACATATAACTTTATCTTGTTTCTTAACAAATACCTAGTGCTATGTATTTAATGGTGTCCAAGGTCGATATTCAGCCAATGGAAACAATGTCACCTAGCAACTTGAAAATGCCGAAATTACTAATGTGTAACTAGATACTTGAGCCTTGAAAGAGAGTGCAACATCTATTACGGTGTTCAACATAAGAAAGATGTCACAAAAATAGTTGTGATAATATAGTCGCTTCTTCACCAAACTTTCATTTGGCATTAACTCCAACTAACACCTTGAAATCTTTCGTGTGACACATGCTAATAACTTCAAATAGTTTTTTGACTCAAGGGATTGCAAAAAATTTCACATTGATGATGATACCTAAACTTTACAATTTTTTTCCCCGCAACTAATGAATTGTTGGAAAATTACAATATACTATCTGTCTATTTATATTGTATAATCTGAGTGCCAAATTTTCATTTTTTAATGAAAAATGTACTCCAAATGGACGTAATTTTTTAGATGACATTCTACTACCTAAATTTTTTGAAATTTTCATAATGCTCCCCGCAACTTGGATGTCACTTGGATCCAAAAGTCCATTGAATCGAATCCATTAATCCACTCATCCAATCAACTAATCCATTGAAACCAATTCATTTGCCACCTCTAATTACATATACTATGAATATTCATAATTTTACTTAACTATTGTCACTAAATTATTATACTTCCAACTTGAATGGCAACTATCCACTCACTCATTTTTATTTAAACTCTCAAGTGTCTCGCTTTCAAAATTTGTGACTTTATTTTCTTCAGATTGGAAAGCACTTCTCTTATATCCATTCTCTCTTCTGATATCTCTGCACAACAGGCTAATGCGAGCTTCATAATTGATGCCATGCAGTCAACTTTTGTCTTGAAGTTTATTCTAACATCATTAGCCAACAAATTTGCATCAACAAGCTCAGTCACCCTTGCGGGTAGTAACATTGAAACCCATTGCTTCATGTCCATTCCTTCATCAAATGATTCTTCATTTGGTTTCCTTCTCGTGAAAACTTCCATTAGTAAAATGCCGAAACTATACACATCACTCTTTATTGACACAATTCCTTCCCTGCCAAACTCTGCAGTCACAAAACAAGGATAGATTTAGGATTTGAAGTAATAGAACAAACCTGAATTCTATGACCCTCAATTTGAGAGTTTGCTTAATTAACTAGTTACTATTATGCAAAGTAAATTGTTTTAAAGCGTGACATGATGCAAAGGATGATTGATTGGTTTTAAAGTGACTCAATTATGAGTAAGTTAAATATGTGAACCGTTATTGGATGGCACAAAAATATCAAAATGACACTAAAACTAGTCTCTACTAGCAAACCATCCATATTTTCCCCTTATGCTTAAGCATGAGGAGGCGATAATTACTCAACTTATGCTCAAGTTATGTCGTAATAAGACTTGGTGCCTTGTATGTGATTAACTTCTTTTTTCTTTCCTTAGACTAATAAAATCAGTTCACCCCTATCAAAAAGACTTGGTTCCTTGTAATAAATGTGTAATTTTCATTGTCAAGGTATTACACTGATAATTGCACACGAACAATAATATGCAAAGAATTTTATCTTGTTTTCTTAACGCATACCTGGTGCTATGTAACCGACGGTGCCCAACTTCAATGTTTGAGTGATGGAATCAGCACCGCCTAGGAACTTGGAAATACCAAAATCACTTAGATGTGCAACTAGATCTCCATCTAGCAACACATTCCCAGGCTTCAAATCACAATGAACTATCGAAACAAAATAACCGTGGTGGAGATATTCCAGGGCGCATGCAACATCTATCATGATATCCAGCCTCTGGAAGATGTCTAAGAAAAAGTTGTGAGAATAAAGCCACTTCTCCAAACTTCCATTTGGCATGAACTCCAACACTAGTGCTTTGAAATCAATCGTATAGCAGATGCTAATAATTTTGATCAGATTTCTATGTCGAAGATTGCACAAAATCTCACATTCATGATGAACATCAACCATGCCATTATTGGCTTCCTCTTCTTCCTCCAAGTCATTGAACACCTTCACAGCTACATTGATTCCTTCGGCTAACTCCCCTTTGTACACACGACCAAAGCTTCCCTTTCCCAACAAGTTGCAATCCTCAAATCCATTAGTTGCTCTTTGAAGCTCTAGCAAGGAAATTCTCCTCCATTTAGTTAAAGGAAATGATTCCTCCCTTTCATTGTTCCTTTGATATGCTTTTCTATTCCGATACCAAATGATAACCATAACCACAACAACAATAGCAACGACCATTGCAGAAAGAATGACAATCAATACTTTTCCTAAGTGCTTATGTCCAAGTTTCTTTCCCTTGGGTTGAGGGCACAAGGGTACTCCAAACTTAGGTAAACCACATAACCCAAGATTCCCCTCGAATAACCTTGAGGATAAATTTTCAAACGGTCCTCCACTTGGGATTTCTCCCCATAATCTATTATGTGATACATTGAAATACTTTAGATCACTCAAAGACTCCATAGATTTGGCAATAACACCTGAGAGATTGTTGGATGACAAATCCAAGGATTTCAAGATAACCATATTGGCAAGGGAATTTGGAATGGGGCCTTGGAATTGATTTCTATCCAAATACAACTCCTGTAAATTCACAAGAGTTCCAATACTTTCAGGAATGTAGCCTGATAGTTGATTCCTTGATAAACCCATCCAATACAAGGCTTTCAAGTTGCTAACTTGGGGAGAAAGTGATCCACTTAGCAAGTTACCTCCCAAACGTAATGTTAGTAAGGAGCTCATCCCCCAAAGTGAAGAAGGTACTATAGAGTTGAACTTGTTGAACTCCAAATGAAGATGCTGCAGCTGAGTCAAATTGGCTAAGCAACCTGGGATTTGTTGTGAAAGATTGTTGTAACTCAATTCTAAGTGATAACTAAACTGCAACTCACAAAGCTCATCAGTAATCGGTCCAAGTAACTCGTTGCGATCTAATGCCAAATACTCGAGTTTCTCGAGCCGTCCAATTGCTCGAGGAATGTACCCAGTTAACCGATTTCCAGAGAGACCAATGAAATTAATATTGCTCAAGTTGCCAACTTGATCGGGGATGATACCTTTTATTTCGCTGTCATACGCCGTGAATGTTTCGAGAGATGATAAATTTCCTATGGAACTTGGGAGCGAAGCATCCTCGAATGAAGTGCGCGACATCTGCAACCATCTCAAACGAGTGCATCTTGTCAAAGAAGTGAGAAAGGATGGCTCCACAACTAGCTTTTCGTTTCCATAGATGCTAAGGATCTCGAGCAATTCCAGATTGGCAAGGGCATCAGGAGCACGACCAGAGAATGAGTTGTTAGCTAGGGATAGGAAAGAAAGATTTGAAGCATTGCCAATGGAGAATGGGATGCTTCCACTAAGCTCATTACCCCAAGCATTAAGTCTCTCCAAATTTGGGAGGTGTGAGCCCAAGGTTGGTGGGAGAACTCCTGATAATTTATTATCGAAAAGGTCCATAGAACTTATCGATGAGATGTTGAAAATCTCCCACGGAATAGGCCCGCTTAACTTGTTCCCGCCGAGGCTGAGAACTTCCATAGCAATAAGATTACCCAGTTCACGAGGAATTTCACCTATCATCATCGTAAAAGATACATTGATCGTTATACATGAAGGGATAATTACTACTTTTATTTGGAAGAGATGGAGTATAGACTCTTTTATAGATATGATCATATGGAGAATTCTTTCAAGAAGAAAAAATGTATCTATGGAGAACCAAAGTTGGAAGAAACAAACCTTCCAAGAAGTTGTTCCCCATGTAAAGCTCCTCAATACTACTCAAGCTACCAGTTTCATGAGGGATTTCACCTAGAAAATTTAGTACAAGCGTTAGATGAGATCTTTCTTGTATTGAAAGCATTCAGTGGCAAACTAGTTAACATTCTTGAGCCAATTAGTAAAGATTAAGAGAGCGGGTTGTTAATATTTCTGGTACGATAGAGTTTCTAAAACATTAGTTTAGCACCATTATGATCACTAACTTTCTGTGACAAAGATAATTAATACTAAATATGCCATCTAGAATTCGAAAAGAATTAAGAAAAGGGGTAGCCAGTCCCATAGTTGGGCTCGACTACGACATCACCGCGTGGACGGTGTTCCACGTTATAAAAAAAAAACTAAGAAATCACAATCAAAATAATAAATATCAACATACCGGTCAAACTATTATTGGATAGATCTAACACCGTGAGCATACTGCAATTTCCGATAGCTGTTGGAATACTTTCAGAGAACCGATTGACGGTGAACGATGCAAACTGAAGATTCGTACAGTTCCCGACGCTCGCAGGAATCTCGCCATGCAACTGGTTATGCTCCAGATACAAAGTATTCAGATTTCGAACACGACAACACAGTTCACGTGACAAATCCCCTGATAACCTGTTCTCACCAAGATACACCTCTTGCAGGGTGGAAATATTGAACATGGTGGACGGAATGACTCCAGAAAGATCACTGTTTGACATCCCCAGGATCCGTAACCTTCCAAGGTTGCCAATCTCATATGGTATTTCACCTGTCAAGTTTGTGAACGAGAAGCTCAGAAGTTCGAGCGCAGTCAAATTCCCGATACTCTCTGGAATCGACCCTGTGAACCAATTATACCCCAAAGACAACTTCTGAAGAACACTGCAATGTCCCAACCCAGATGGAATTCCATCTCCCAATTCATTGTGAGACACATTGATCACCTTAATACCCCCCAATTGATCGCACATTTCATCCGGAAGGCTTCCTGATAAGCGATTGTACGCCAACACCAATCTCTCCAATGAAGAAACATTGAAAACCGCTGCTGGTATGGAACCTGAAAGCTGGTTCCCCCCCAAATCGAGGGTTTTCAGACCCTCGAGATAACCAATCGATGGTGGGATGCTGCCGTTGAATTGATTGCTGGAGAGGTTGATCGTCTTCAACCTCCGCAGCTTCGAGATCTCCATGGGCAAATCACCGTACAAGAGGTTGCCGCTGAGGTCGAGGGAGACGAGGAAGGAGAGGTTTCCGAGGTCTGGAGGCAGAGTCCCCTGTATCTTCATGTTGGGCAGAGTTAAGGAGGTTACTCTGCTGTGTCGATGGCCGCAAGAGACGCCGACCCAGTTGCTGCAGATGCTGGCTGCGGCGGCCGCGGTCCAGTTGCGGGAGAGGGGATGATCGGAGGGAGAAGGAGTGTTGATGGTGAAGTGGGCTTTGAGTTGAAGGAGAGCCTCTGCATCATGGTGATAATCGTTGTTGTAAGAACTAGTAGCAGCAGTGGTGGAAGTGAAGAAGAAGAAGAAGAAGAAGAAGTAGTGATGGATTAGTAGTAGTGATGGAATTGTGATCATGCGAGTAGATCCAAAGAATTGGATTGTGTTGTGACCCATCATCGTATATGGTTTGTAATGTAGTGAGTGAGTGAAAGGAGCCGATCCAAGGAGTTCCTGATCTGGTTTTTTTATATGTAAAAAAAAATACAGCTGGTGGTAAGAATTTTAGGTGGGAAATGTCGATAATTATATATGGATCCAATAACTTGAGTGGTTGAGAGAAGTTGGATAATGGATCGTATATCATTTACTGGCAGCAGTAGTTCTTAGACATGATATTATCAAAGTTTCAACCTGTTTTTGCTCAATGGATACAAAACACCCATGCTTTAGCACCTAGCGCAACGGCTCCTGATGCAACAGCAAGCACCAGTTTGACTTGGGGGGTGGTGATTTGGTAGCAGTGGGTGGGAAGGTTGCTTTGTTACCTATTCCATTGGGAACCGCGGATTTTTTGGTCCATCATATTCATGCATTTACGATTCATGTGAGTAGATTTTCGTTTGATGTGGTGTGTTAATAAGCTTCTCTCAACAATTCGAGATATGGAGATCAACTCGTTCTTGATAAAGAAAAGTATAATGGAGAATACCTAAGCTATCATCCTTTTGCTCCACTGATCAAATCTGCCGATGAAGTCGATGAAGTCAATCAACAGCACTGATGAAATGGGAAGCAAGTCTTTGGTCTCCTCTCTCTCTCTCTCTCTCTCTCGGCTGTATTTTCTTTTTACGCGTTCACTCCACTCCTAGCTAGTTGTAAGTGGTTTATTTTGGACTTTGGAGAGTGAGTGGGTTTGATATTTGCAGTTTAAGTTGCTTAGTAGTGCTGACGGCCAAATTCCGCCATTATCATGGGCATTGCTATTTGTCGCCCTAAAATACCTTATTTGTTGCCCTAAATTTTATCAAAATGACTCAAATATCCTTAGTTTAATATTTATCTTTCAAAACACATAAACACTAAATAAAAACATACAACTATACATTACAAGACTTACAACTCTGGCTCAGATTGCTCATTACTGTTTCATGGAACCGCTATCTGGTCACATATTTTCCTTTCGCGGCGGCGGCAGCAGAGCTCGAGAGTGGATTGACTCAAAAGAAAGGGGACCGAGAGTGGATTGACTTACCACAATTCTAGTGCAGCGGTATTTGAAAAATCGTATCGGTCGCGGATCTGATCAAAAAATTGGCTATCGAATTTTAATATAAGTGGATTCTGGCTTACAAAATGTTATGGCTGTTTATATTTTGAAAGATTTATCGATTGAGGATTTCATTTGTAATGTATCATATAAATAAGAATTTATGACATCATCGGTTATTTGACATAAAATTAGGTCACTAATTTTTTTGTTTATATTTTACTAATTCCTAATTTAGTGTCAGGTTCTTCACCTTCAAATGAAAAACAGTCGCGATAAACTATAAGAAAACATGTCATGAATTATTTAAATATTAATAAAATTCATTTTATAATTTTTTACTTTTTTTGTCGGACCCACTTTACGTGAAATCCTAACTACGACACTGTACGCCGAGCCCATACAATTGCCAGCAGATAACAACTAGGGTTTCGACTAGACAAACTACATGTAGGACAAAGCTTGTGCATGGGCCATGCATGCACACTAGTGCTCCTAGGGTTCGGATCAGGTAACCCTATCCTCAGTAACTGTGCATAACCCCCTTCTCTATCCTCCACATGTCTGCGTCTGAGCCATTCCCTTTTATTTAAATGAAACACGGAGGGGCATTAGGGTAATTTGCATCAATCTCAGCCACTTGATTTCTCCGTCCTAGATCTACGACTCGAGGTGAATTACTAACAGGTCAATAACCGTTGGTTACTGACCGTATCCCTAGTCGTGCTCCTATAGAAGAACTCTATAATTAAAATACCGTGCACTGTTTATTTATTATCTAAATACGGATGAGAACACAACAATAGTTAATCCCATTTTCGTATTATAAATTCCTCTCATTTTCTTACCTACGAACAAATTAGATACAACATTTGTTTGCAGGTACAACATTTATTTTATTTCCTTATTATCACTCCTCGTCGCTGCCGTCGTAAAAGACTTCAATCAACAACCAGCATTGGTCTGCAGCGGGATCCCAAACTTCCGACAGTAGGAGTTGTAGTACCCCACCCTCTCCCTGACGGCGGCCGAGTTGCCGCCGTCGCACTCCTTGCCGTTGATCTTCCGGATGGTGGCGCCGAACCCTTGCGGCAGGACGGGGCCCACGTTCGTCACCCAGAACCACAGCGCCGACCGCCACGCCAGTACCGGGTCCCTGGCGACGGCGTCCGGGTCGTTCACGCCGTCGAAGTTGCTCTCCCGGCCGGACTTGGCGTAGTTGTAGTTCCACCGGAGCTGGAGCGCGCCCCGGCCGTAGTACCTCTTCCCCGGCGCGCACGGGAACTGGGTCGGGTCGCAGTAGGTCCCGCGGTTGGTTTCCTCAATGTAGCACATGTCTGCCCAAAACAAAAACCACACGATATTTTAGCCAACAACGACTTAGTCTGGTGGTATTATCGCTGATTTTTAATCAGTAGGTCTCAAATTCGAATTCATTACGTAGCAGATAAAGATAAAAGCAAATCTATTTCGCCATAATAAAAGAACACACAATTTTGATATGTGTGTTACCGGACATGATACTGTGTCGATTCTATGTGCGTGTTACTAAAATCATAAATAATTTTAATAAAAAGACAAGTAATTTAGTCAAAACGAGTCTAGAATAAGGCATGTCAGTGTGAGAATCAGATTGAGCATGGTACCTAAGTTTGCTACTCCCTATTTAAGTAACCGTATTACCCATTCCAAAACAAATCAAACATAGCAGGTCGAATTTGTCATCGCTAACTATAACTCATAATTAGCAGGAGAGTGATCGAAGTAAGAAGTTCGTAAAAGGCAACGCAATTTACTTCCGGTCTCGTGGGTGACGTGGGCGAAGAAGGCGGCGATCTCGCGCTTAGAACCGGGGAGAGATCTCCGGTTGCCGAAGTTCGGGTAGGAGTGCACGGCCCGGAGAAAGGCGTCCAGCGTGTAGAAACCTTTGCCGACGCAGCTATTGGGTGCTTGGTTTTTGATGCCGTTGAAGAATTCCGGCGTGACGATGTCCGCCACGGTGACATCCGCGGAGGCCGCCGGGAGGACTGCGGCGGCCAGCAGTATGGCTGACGTGGCAACGAGGATTACTTGGAGGTTTGCCATTGTGTTTAATAGTGGACACAATAAGATTGTCGGAGTGTGGTGGCCGGCCGAAGGAAAAGTAGGTATTTATAGGAGGTGCCGGTGGGTTGTTGGGGTGGAAAAATTTGAGTGATGGGGAGCATTTCACACTGAAATATTAATAATAAAAAAATGTGGGTCATGTGAATGATGAATTATGACAGATCGATATCACTAAATTGTCTTGTTTTGAGACAATTGAACCAAATTGACTTGTTTGCTAGTAAAAGATTTGGATGAATCAATTAGACATGGAGAATTTGAAATTATTCGTTTTGAAAAGATTCCAATTATCTAGAATGGGGACAAGTAATTCTAATTTTTTTGATAAGGGGGGACAGGTAATTTTAATTAATTCGTTATAAATGACTCGTTTTACAAAATTAGACAATTGACCAAATTATCTTGTTTTTTAAAATGATCCATCCAAATTATCCTCAACTTATTTCTTGATAGGGTGTATCACTATCGAGTATTAACTAGGAGTGACATAGCTCAAAATTCCATTTAAATTGGATAGGTTTTACAAACAAAAAAACACTTTTATTAACCTATATCACACATGATATGATCTTTTATTAAAAAAATTATTGTAAAATAAATTACATTGTCAATTGATAGTCGAAACTATCAACGATTTCACTCTCAATATGTATCCCTAGATAACAATACTCCTTATATTTTGAATGATTGTCTACACATAGCTCGTTGTGAAAAATGGTGTAATTACCAAAGGCTATGTTATAAACCCGCTGCTACGGATCGGGAAATCGCCGAAATCGATAAAGTAAGAATACGAAAGCAAGAATCAAAAAATACAGTCACGATTTACGTGGTTCACTAACACGATGTGTGTTAGCTAGTCCACGGGCGAGAGAGAGTCAGTTTCACTATATCGAGGAGATTACAGATTACAGAGGAGTATGAGAAGTATTTATAGTACTTCTCCATATGGGTCTAAAGCTAATCCAATATGGCAAAGAAAACTGCTACAGACCAGGCCTAGAACCCGAACCCAAATAACATTGAGCCCGTACACCGCGGGGCGTTGCCCCTGGACACCACCACCATGAGGTGGTCAAGGGGGGTCATCCACGTGGTCTCCCTACTCTCGTAATGATGAATTATTTTTGCCATTTTGACTCAGGTGATTCGAGTATCCACCCATATGTGGCACGTGGTCTACTTTCATGCCTTAGCCATTTTTTCTCTATAGACAAGCAAAGCTACGGAGAAGATACCAAGAGCGAGAGTGAAGTCTCAAGAGGACTAGAGGAGGGCACTACCGTCGTCAGGGCATAAGTGGAGCAGTTGAAGAGAGTAACCATCACTCCACATCAACAGAGAGGTTTTTTGAAAGCAGTTACTTCTTGTGGCTATAAATAGGAAGTGAAGTCAACAGAGGAGGGGTTCGCCAAAATCACACCAGACAACACAATGTCAAATTTTATCCTTTTATCTTTACCTTTTCCTCTGCAAATGTAGTCATAGCCATAGTTGTAGTTTCAGAGCTCTCACTGAACCTCCATAGGAGTAGAGTTAATGTAAATTAGTTTGTCTCGTAGATCATCAAGAACATCGAACAACCTTGTTTGAACTTTGTTCAAAGAGGTGTGGACCGTGTTTGTTAATCGTTTGTTTGAAAGTCAAAGGTGCAAAATCCAATTCTGTTCATCTAGATTTTCTCACGGGAAAACAACATATAATTTGTATCCTATTTAGAATTGAAATACAAATAATCAACACCACATTAATTTCCAAAACATACAGATCTAGAAACGATTGAAAGTTAACAACCTAGCTATCCATCATATAATCTGAGATATTATTAACTAGTACACTATTCATTTCACGCACCACCAAAAAAGTATGTAGAAATGTGCAGATAATAGTGAAGCAGATTGACCGTTTGTGGCACAACATAATAATGTATAGAGAAAAAAAAATTATAGCTACTTGACTTGGGTGCTATTTTAGTCCAAAATCAGTCAATTGTGCTAGCCCAGCACTGTCACCGTCGTCTCTTCGGGGACATTCGATAAAATTGAAACGATACAGAGAAAATTAGTCAGCACTGTCACGGTCAGTGACTTTGAAAATCTCCATGGATAGTAGCAATGTTGAAGTGGCCTAACTAAGCAAATACCATTGAATCTTTTAAGAGTGTCCTTTTGAGCAGAGTCGATGAAGTCAATCAACAACACTGAAATGGGAAAGCAGGTCTTTGGTCTAATCTCGTTTAATATAAGTGTGAGACAGTGACGCCCTTTTAGTATCCCATTTTTTCAACAAAAAAAAAAGTGTAACGATACAAAAATCATTAACATTGTTGATTGTCTTTGAAACTTTATTCATTTCACCAAATTCAGGAACCACATTGGATAAAGTCCCAACTTGCTAGGAACGCTAACCATCTCACATCCAATGATCAAGAAGTGAACCCAACATTCATTCACCTAAGCAATTGACGTCCAACCAGAGAATTCTAAGCCTGTCCAACCAAACGTTTGCAAAGAAAGCAAAATCTGAGTTCAACAGCAATTAACAATTGACTAGGAATGAGGATAGGGAGAAGGGCAATTGGTTTTTGGCTTGCTGAGAAAACCCAGTTAACAACGCAACACCGGAATCAACAATTCATAGGATGGATCAGCATACTAAGCATCAGTTTCCAACAACTTAGTCCATCTCAGAGTAGAAGCAGTTGGAGTGATAAGGTGTTTTGAACGGCTGGAACTTCTGGAAACTGATACTTTCATTGTCTTGTAAATCGAATGAATTCACCCGGGACTCCATTGGCGCATTTTCTGATGATGAGAGCGACCAACTCTGCGGTTCTGCGTGCATCATCGTCTGGCCCGTACTTGTTTCGTTCACGAGCATAAGCTGGTCGAACGGAGCTAAATCAGGAGGCTCATTCATACCCCAGGAGGAAGTGGTTGACAGAAGAGAGAGAGCACCCCCTAACTCAGGGTTCATCTCTTGGTTACAAGTTACCGCAGACCCCTCGAAACCTGTATGATTTCATCAATCCATTGTTGTCAGTAACGGGGAAGCAGTCCATCATGGAACTACAAGTTTGGCTGATTTTCAAAAGCATTCAAACACACCCCATAATATCAAACAAGAGAAATTATTGAGTCTCAACTGTAGCACAATCCGATGGTGAATAGGAAACTAACCTTGATTAAAGATCTGAGGTGTACTGCTCCTGAAAGACAGACCCTTGTCTGAGATCATTGGCAATGTAGAAGTTGAGTCATTCAATTCATTAGACAAGTCACTCATCTGCCTACTCATGCCTTCTGTTTTCGCATATCTAAGGAAAGAATCTCCTGCTTGTGCGAATTTAAGCCCACAACTACTTGGCCATGTGAAACTTTTAGCTGGTAAAGGAACCCTATTCCACATAACGTTCATCTGCCGTCTATTATCTGTACAAATCCACAATGAGGACAATAGAAAAGATAGACAGCTCAAAGCCAACAGAAATTCCAGCCAACTTATCATAAACATAATTTGATTAGAAGACAACCAAAGAATGATCACCATATATCGATGCAGACAGAGTTGAACCGAATTGGAGTGCCTCTGACTGCGGCCTGCGACGACGTGCATTGTGATCGGACAGACGTCTACGACAGCTTCGCTTTTTGTCATCAAATTCTGACAACTCATGGAACCTAGAACCAGTTTCACAATGGAAGAGTCTCACATCAGCATACAGTAAATAAAGAGATGATAAGGGGTTGTTTGAAGGTGACATTTCTCATTTGTTGGATGGTAGTAAACCAAGGGACCTGAGAATAAGTGAGATCACAATATTAGATTGTATTAGAAAGTATGTTGTGTTGGTTTGGTTTCGCGGTACCATCGCTGATTTTCAATCTCAAGATCCCAGATTCGAATCTCAAGGTGGACTTCCCCTCCTCCTATAACCTGCAGACCCCTTCAGCAACATGTAAAAAAAGTATGTTGCATGTATGTGTAATTTTAAGTACGGAGTTTTGTTTATGTTGTCCTCCATCCTTTTTATCTTCCTACAAATACTGACAAAATAATCTAGCAAATTTTGAGATTTAGAATTTGCCTTTGGCCAGAAGTGAAACTGTGAAATTCAACTTCTTATAGTTTGCTGTAATTACAAATCTCCAAATAGAAATTGCAGAAAATCTTCTACTAAAACAAACGAATCACATGATAATTACAAATCATCAGATAAGGAATTGAGGCATGAATCTACCAGCCAAATACCATCAACAATGACCTAACAGAAAATTCAGGAGTCAAGAAGTGCCAAAGCAAAGTAGCTGCTGCAACTGCATTGTTTATGCTAAATAATGAAAGGTGGACAAGAAAACTTACCTACTGCACTGCTGGCAAAACCGACGTTCCAGACCAGCAACAATGACCTTGGGACTTTTTGAGTGGTTCTCGCATATTCTATGCCTCCGATGGTAATCTTTAGCTGACTTGAGGTCAAGGTTGCATCCTTCAACTTGACAGCATGGTGATTGTAAACTCTGACACGAGGCCCTAGTTCTCTTTCCAGCAGCAACAAAGGAGCTAGCAATCATGCAAGCAGACAAAGATGATGACTTGGCATTTCCAGGTGCGTATACATCTTCAAAGTACGTCCTTTTACCAAGCTTCGGACCAATTATTTGCTCCCCAAAGCTAGTAGAAGCATCCATGGTTGAAACATTCTCAACATTTCCCACGATGCTCAAATGTTTCTTACTGATATAGTCAGGAAGTCCTTCCACAGAGCTCTTAGATGAGGAGCCATGTCCTGAATCAGAGCCTGAAAAACCACCACCACATCCATGGGAGTAGATGTATCCACTATCGATTCCTCCAAGCCCTTCTTCAGCATCATCAAGGGTTAAGAAGTGCTTTACTTGTTTCTCAGTGCCAAATGTCTTGGAGCTAAACCCAGTTATGTTATCCCAGTCCCAATCTGATGCAGCCTTCAAATTCCACTCCATAACAACAGAAGTAGTCGTCACAGAATGAGAGAAATAGTGTGGTTCTATCAGTATGTCTCATTTACAGTTGCCTTCATAGATACATCTACTCCAATATCTAGCATTCAGAGTTCAAAATAGCTAATTACAGCAAGCTGGAATGAAGCAGTAAAAGGACAGAAGGCTGGAAACGCTGAAGGCCCCTTTGCAGGCTGGAAACCACAGCTCAATCTACATGTACAGAACATAAAACATGCAAAACGGGATAAGGGTAAATTTCATCTCAAGTGACTTGAGGAAAGTTGAGATTGGCTTAAAGCACGAACCTTTAGGTTTTCAGTTGTTTCACCTTCCAAAACCCAGAGTTATACAACAGGTTTTAAAGAGAAACTTCTGATGTTCCCTTCAAGGAAAACAGATTACCAACCTCTCTTCCCCTGAATTCTAAAGAGGACTCCAGGTACCACAGAAATGAAGATGATGAAAACAAACAGGAAACAAAGTGTTATTTGGCCAGAAAAAAAGGGTGTCCCTTTCAGGCGAGGTGATTAATCTACTTTCCCATCAAGCAAACAAGTGGAATTAAATTTGTCAGGGGTCTTCAAGTGGATCTTCCCCCTTCCCATTCTGGCCCAGACAATAACACTTAGCACATGCCACCTGAATGGTCACAACACAACAACCCCACCACCACCACCAGCCACAAATTTACCGCAGCAGCACAGGCAATAAAATCCTCTACCAGCCTCCATCCAAGCAGAATCCTACTCAGAGAGCACCAAAAGAATTTAGAACCACATCAGTAAAGAATATACCATATCCGACAATCCTAACTTTTGTTGCAGATTCTTACCGTCTCCTCTCCAATCAATGGTAGCATTTGAGTCAGCACTCTTGCTATAAATTGCACCAGAACCATAGATTTCAAAGGGAAACTAGCACCTTCCTTTTTTAACATACCAAAACTTCAGAACAGCAATAAAAGGTACAAAAGTTCCTAACATAGCATTATCTATAATCATCATCATTAGGACAAATATTCGAAGGAATCAGGCCGGTAACATAACCTTAATTCATTTTAGGAAACGAACCTATATAGTTGGACAGTATCAAACCTTCAGACAGTTGTTCGGATCCCTAGCAACTGACACTCTCATCATTCCAGGAAAGTGGTAACAACAAATGAGCTACCCACGACAGGGTTTATTTTGTGTCATGAATAGTTACTAGCCTCAAAGGAACAGTTAAAAAGAAGAAATTCAGACCACAAGTCAAGCCCCATTTACAGCATGGGGACCTCATAGACAGTGATCAATTCTGTCACTTCATTATCAAACAACTAGAGCTCAAAATATTAATTGCTCTCCTCCAATTCTTCATACACCCACATGTGTTGTGGATTGATGAACTTGATCTGCCTTCCCCTAGAAAATAGTTGGGTAGATAGATTGGGCTACCACACTCATAAAGAAGTAAATGAAAACTTCATAGTCAACAATAACGACAAAGCAACTTGGGATCCATCTCATACAGTAAGTCTTTCTGTTCAATTCATTTAGGAATAGGACCATGCAACACGATTCCTACACTGGTCCCTAACTTGTAGAAAGCAATAGCAATAGGCACACTACAAACATTTTAGTCCACTGGCAAATCCTTGAATTTCAAGTCTATAGATGTGAGTTCCTCGTTACAGCCACAAACACTGCCTTGCTTACATTTTAGTCCACTTGTGAATCCTTGAATTTCAAGTCTATAGATGTGACTTCAACGTCAAAGCTACAAACACTTCTTGCCTAACCCTTCCAAAAAGACAACAAGAAAAAAACAACATTTCCTTGCTTAATGCTTACCCTCCTTGCCAAAACTTCGTAGCACTTACCTTGTTACAAATTTGAGCATCTCCGCTAGCTCTTAATAACACCTCAGCTATTTGTTTGTTTTTATCGTCAAGAGGAGTTAAGTGCCCTAAGGTGCAAGGACAATGTATAACACAGTCCTTGACATATAAACAATCTTATCCATGAGTTGGCACAGTACTCTAGGTCAATTGGCTAACAGGCTGCAAGGCAACTAAAAATTCTATCTATGCCTCTAGTTCAAGTTCCATCCCAAACCACACAAATCCAATCCCCTTTCCTTCTCTTCTCAAGGAACCACATATGTTTTGAGATGGAGAGTTCACAAAGGGCTCAATCATCATTTTCTTTTCCATGACACACACACACACATACATACATAAATACCATACCATACATACATGTCAATTGGAAAAAAACAATATGCCCCAGTACCATTACCCACCATTCATTAAATTCCATCAATAAAAGGGCCCATCCTAACCTTCCTCCTTTATTTATCCTCATCTCTATCTCCTACTCTTTACATCCACACAATGCACCCGAACCGACAAAAAAAAGCAAACTAGAGGGTTTCTCCAATGTGAAATTTACAAATTCCATTAGAAAAGAAAGCTAAACCGCAAAAACAAACAAACCCCAGTTGGCACAGCAAACATCCGAAGGCCAAAGCTTCCAATTTCTTTCTTTCGACTTGACTCAGAGAAATTCCAACAACAAAAAATTTGCCAAGGAAAAGAAAACGGGGACTTTCTGAAGAAAATTGATTTTGAGAAACGAAATCAGTAACTCCTTTGATCACATCACAAGGCACCCATGCTAGAAACCCAAGAGAGAAGCAATAAAGGATTGGGATGGAAGACCCACCACCATTGTCAATGCTATTTCTGCTTGTGCTTTCTCACATATAAATGAATGAATGAACAATCCCCCAGACAGATCATATGAATGCATAAATGGAGTTGCAGGAAACTTACAACTCGCTCAAGTGGAGCAAAGGAGGTACTGAGTCGACTCAGAATCACAAGGAACGAGTTGAAAACGAGCTGAGGCGGTGGTGGCCGAGTGGACTCGGGCGAGTGGTGTTGTTGCTGCCATAAGTGGAAAGAGAGAGATGGAGAAGACGAGCAGGGAAGGAAATCCCACCTTGGTCGTTCATCTGTTGCTATTTATAGTAAAAAAATATCAAAATTATTACAACTACTTCTGGAGATATTAAATTTCTGTGCACTCTGCTGCCGCCACATGTTTTTTTGTTGTTTGGATTGTCATTGGGATTAAGGAGTTATTACTGGATGGCACTTGCATATTTCTAGTTTGGAACAATATATGATAATCCGTTATTAAGCTTTTTGTATAATCATGATTTTAAGATTCATAGACTTTGTAATAAAATCAAGATTTATCATTTATGCCTATAAAAAAACATAGAAACACAAGATTCCAAAATTAAAATAGGAATTTCCACTGTTCAACCCATAGCTTCCTTCATTTTTCCCTACACCAAATTTACTTTACAGTTTACGGCCTTTATTTGTTAAAGATCGGAATCAATTTGGTAATAACCCAAAATTTGATGGTAGATTGGTAGTATTTGTAATTGACCCGTAAAGAAATTAGATCACAAATTCACAATTCACAATTCACAATTCACAAGTCTGTGCCAAAACCTCGCGCTGGCTAAACCCTAGCGTATCTGTATCTTTTCTGCATAAGTCGTCTTCTTCTTCCTCCGTCGTTCCCCCTTCCCGAGTTGAGCTGCGTCGACTCACTGAACTCAGAAAATGGCGGACACGGTGCAGTACCGCCTGGAGCGCATGGTCGAGGAGCTCGATGACCTAGAGCGTCGAGGACTGTTCACCCGCCGTGAGATAGCGGAGATTGTCAAGCAGAGGCGGAAGTTCGAGTACAGATTGAAGCGCCCCAGTCCTCTAAAGCAGGACTATTTGACCTACATAGATTACGAGACCCAGCTCGACACGCTTCGCCGCCTTCGCAAGAAATCCGTGGCCAGGGACCTCGATAAGAAGAAGGATAACAAGAGGACGAAGCTCTCGGTCTCTGACTTCGCCGGAGTGTCGAGGATTGTTGAGATTTATCGGCTCGCCGTGTTGAGATACAAGGGGGATGTCGACCTCTGGCTTCGTTATTTGGAGTTCTGTAGGGAGCGGAGCAATGGAAGAATGAAGAAGGTACTATATGTGTCATTTTCAGCTTTTGGGTTGTGGTTCCTGTTTGGCTTATTCTTCGATAGCATGACACCGAGATTCTTCTCGTCATTCTGTGAGAGATGGAGAATGTGATGAAAATGATCCTTTGATTTTGGTGTTGTTTGAAATGGGACCTCTGTTTCTCTTGACGTTTGGTTTGAATAGTTGAACTAGGAGGAAAGGAAAGCACCGGAGCTGCAATTGTACTATCATCTCTTAACACTTACTTGATAGAGGAACTTAGCTGGCAAAGATTGGAGATACAAAAGACGTGCTTTTAATTTTTGGTTCCTCCACTTTGATATTGTGTTATTTCTGTGTAAGCTTGGAAAGAACGACCACATGGTTCTATTCTTAAAATGCGTGTTGTTGGCTTGTCCTGCCATTTTTTGCTCAAGTTGCATCCTTTTCTGTGCAGGTCCTAGCTCAACTAATTAGGTTTCATCCAAAGGTTCCAGGAGTTTGGATTTATGCTGCGGCATGGGAATTTGACCATAATTTGAATGTTGCAGCAGCTCGTGCCCTTATGCAAAGTGGTTTGAGGGTGTGTCCGACTTCAGAGGATCTCTGGGTGGAGTACCTCCGGATGGAGCTCACATACCTCAACAAGCTGAAAGCACGAAAGGTTGCTCTTGGAGAGGGCAGGGGAAGTCTGGTTCGTGAAGATGGAGATGCTGGTGAAAAAGAGTGGAGAGAGGATAACCAAGATTTATTCTTGTCACTTGATGAGGAAAGGAAAAATGTTGATGGATCCAACACTGACAATGAGGAGTCCGATGATAAAGTAGATATATTTAAAGAGCAAGGTCATAACATTCTCCAGGCAGTTTATAGTGGTGCAGTGGAAGCCTTGCCTTCAAGTTTTAGCCTTAGAGAGCGGTTACTCGAGATATTGGAAGCCACAGACTTGGCACATTCAGAAGACATGCGTGAAAGGATCCTAAGTGATATGAAAAGAGACTTTTCAAAGGATCCCAAATACTGGGAATGGCTTGCTAGACTTGAACTGAGACATTCTCAAAGTAACCAGGGAATAAGTGATGATCTCATGCTGGAACAATTACAGAAGGCAGTGAAGGTACAAATCCCTATCAATTCTACTCATTTGATGATATCCAAAAGTCAAGAACTTCCAACATTGAGTTTTCCCTTCTAATCGATATAAATATATTGCTTTCAAGATATCATAGCAGCTAGTTTTTGTTTGCAGATCTATGAAGAGGCTTTAGAAGTTGTGCCTTCTTCTGTTATGTTTGACCTGTACACAAAATTTTTGATGGATGTTGTTGTCCCCAAAGATGGAAATACCCAGTTGTGTGTTTGTACAGAAGATTGGATTTCACGTCTTTTAACGGCATATGAGAAGGCCGAGCTAGTAGGGTGCATGTCAGAGGATCTAGCTTGCAGATATGCTTCATTATATTTGCAATTGGGAAGATTTGATGAAGCCCGAAAACTGGCAAGAGACCTTTGCAGTGGAGATCTTGCAAATTCATCTAAGTTATGGCTCTTAAGGGCCTCCATGGAAATTAGACATTTCACAAGGGATGCTCTTTCGCAAAGTAAGGCCAGCTTGGATTCCATTTTTGGTTTAATTAGAGACGAGCTGGCTAAAGTGCCACTATCAAAGTCGGAGGAACTTTGGCTCACGGTATGCTTCTGTAACTTTGCATTTTGGAACCTTTTCCCCATATCCAATTTGTGATTATTTTGATGACTATGTTAGCTACTGCTGAACCCAGACATCAAGGGTTTCACTGCTTGAAGAGGTTCTAGATACTTAATTAGTTTATCTCGTGGAAATATAGATGGATTGAATAGTAATATATTCTTGTAAACTTGTGTATAGGTGACAAATTAAATTGTTCTGCTATTCTCTCTACGTAATCATTGCTCTCTTTGTACTCTTCTTTGACTGCAGGCACTCAAGTTCTTTGCTCTTGAAAGGGATTACTCTGATAAGTTGGTTGAGATGTCTATTACTGCAGTAGCTAAAAGTGCCGGCAGTGATTATGGATTCTCACTCTCTTCTGCAGTAGTAAACTTTATCCTTCACAAAGATGGGCTCCAGGATGCTAGAAAGATATATGAGAGGTATATGCATTTGCTTATGGGTGTTTAGCAACTCTTTCACAATTTGCACACAGAGAAACTCTTACCATGTTAACTCTAACCTTCATTGTGTTAATATGCAGATTTCTTGCCCTTCCTCATCCAGACCTTTCTTTGTACAGAAAGTGCATTGAATTGGAACAGAACCTCGCCTCTCTTGGTGACAAGCAATGCCTTGTAAATGCTCGGAAGTTGTACGATTCTGCACTCTCAACTTACGACCAGGACTCGAGTTTGTGGCAAGATTACTATTCGATGGAAATTAAGGTAAACACTGGCTTTGCTTGTCCTCAATTCATTGAAATCGTTCGTATCCTTTTTGGCTATTTCCTACATTTTTTTTTTTGCATACCAACCCGTTGGCACTTAGCACTACTTCTGCCTCCCTAATGCCCTTGGTTTTGCCCTAAACCACCCCAAACTGCACATGCATTTCGTACCCCTGACTGCACCGTGCCAACAATTGGTTGGCTCATCAAAGCATTTCGGTGCAGTTTCGATCACAACCCCAACCAAAAACGAAGACCCCAAATCATTTGTCATTCTGCCCATTTAAATTGTAGTCAGATCCTGCGAAATACAAGTGCACATGTGGTTTGGCCTGGTGAAGCATCTCCTACCAGTACTCCATCATATATTCATATTCGAGTTGTAGCCATGGGAACAAGCTTATTTTCGGTCCACGTTAATCTATTACATAGGGTAGATATTCTCTGATTGTGTCTGAAGCTTGACAAATATTTGCTGATTTGTGGTACAGATGGGAACGTCAGAGACTGCAAATGCTGTACATTGGCGAGCAAAGAAGACGCTGGAAAACAATGCTGCAGCTTTGATAGCTTCTCCAGATGTATTATGATTTCCTGCAGTGCACACATCATGTTCCCTAAAAATTTTGGCCTCCCAAACATTTTTGTATTAGTTGAGCAATGAAAGTCGAATGTTCGTAACTTAAGTGAGCAAAGTTATCCGAACTTGTACAGTTTTCTATCCGTGTTTCGAAAGCCTGCTAGGGTAAAGGAAAAAAGACCGTTGTTATACGTTGATTCTTTGGTGACATTCTGATTTGGCGCTTGGCAGCCATTGTCGATGGATGAGTATAGTTCCAGGACAGGTAAGTTCACTGAGAGGGGTCTTGTGTTTTTTCATTGGAATGCTGGTTGGATGAAAGGTAATGTGTTTCTCTAGGTTTTAGATGATGGAGATGCGACTTTAGATTGTGAAGATGGATATATAGGCTTACACCTATATGTTTCAACTTTCAGGTAACTGTATCCATCTAATTGTTCATAACATAGAGAATCGTCTCATAGGTGCTGAGCGGGATCGTTACCAGTCGAAAATTGTCGGTGAATGATTCAAAAGTGTCCAATGCTTAAAAGATGGTTCTCAATTCTCATATAGCAAAATTGTTATGGGACCAATGTCTCAGTTGAATTTTTATTGTCTTGTAACTTGCAAGTTGAGATGATAACTTCGATCTGACCTGTTTTACCCGATCTTTTTGGTCTGTTTTGGAATCGTAGGTGGGGCGAGGTGGGCATGAGTACCTCTCGTTGACCCGACCTGTCCTGACCCGCCCCATTCTCGACCCGTTCTTGCTTAAATTATATGCAATCTTAGTCAAATTACTTGGAATTTTCCTCATATTACCTCATATTTTAGCTATAATAAAGTTGTAAATGAGTGAAAACCTCAATTTCTCAAATACATTAACTACATTTTTATCATATTATAGTTTATTTCTTCATCTTTTAATGAAAATAATGACTATTTTTAAAGTTTTTCACATAAATTACATACACATTGGGTCGACCTTCCCTGATCCACATCCCGTGATAAATTACCCGACCTAAACCCAACCCGCCACGGGACAAGTATGAATATTGAGATATCCGGGCCGGACCTGCCCATTAGGGGTGGCTATACGGTTCGGTCTGGTTAAATTGGACCAAATTGATCCGGTTCCAGGCCGGTCTTTTCGGAAATATAAGGACCAAAGATTGGATTGAATACAGTTCGGTCTTGATCCGGTCCGGTCTTGACCCGGTCCGGTCCCAATTTTATTTTGATTTTAGGTGTTGGGGGTCTCTTATCCGGTTTTTTACCTCAAATCTAAGCCCGAATATGAGATTGCATTGTTTGCTATCCAGTCCCAGTCTGGTCCCGGTCCGGGTTATACGGTCCGGTTTTGGGTAAAAAACCAAACAGTCCGGGACCAAATTGCCAGCCCTACTGCCGATTGCCATTCCTACTTGCAAGTTCCGTTGGTTGAAATTGTGTCAGCATAGCTTATTTGGGTCACTCAACCCGTAGAGGTTACTTTGCTCGCCTGAGCTTCGGAGCCCAGCTATTTGGGCCTGCCTCGCTATACGATAGGCCCAATCTCTTACAATGGCGATCTCATCGAAACTGCGGCGAGCTCGGTTTCCAGCTCGGCAGCAGTGTCACTGAGAAGTGAGAAGCCAGAGGAAGTTTTGCGGCGAGGGCAGGGGTTTAGGGTTTTTGAAGGGCTCACTGGTCGGCAAGGACAGGGGACGAAAGAAGCAAACTTTGGAAGGCCGAGGAGATGAAGTCGGTGGTAGGAGTCGTCGTTTCTAACAAGATGCAGAAATCGGTGGTGGTCGCCGTCGACAGGCTCTTCCACAACAAGGTCTACAATCGCTACGTCAAGCGTACCTCCAAGTTCATGGCACACGACGAGAAAGACGCCTGCAACATTGGAGATCGGGTAATTGTTCTTTGCCCGCCTTTATTTTTCCCGCTCCCGTCTTTCCTTATGGCTCTCCTTGAGCTCGTTCCCAGCTCAATTTGTATGAAATCCATACTGTTGCTCGAAAAGAACACAGCTTTTCCTCCACAAAGTATCTGGGATCAACGTGGTTTGCCATTTAATTGGGAGAAGAAGGATTCAATTTGTTAATTTGAAACTTCTGTTCCACGGTGAAGTTTGGGGTGTTGTTGTTTATGCTATTTACAACTGCAAATGGAGGTTGACTTGGGTTCTACGTTTATGGAATTCCTTGTGTCCAGGTGAAATTGGATCCTTCGAGGCCATTGAGCAAGCATAAGCGTTGGGTTGTTGCGGACATTCTGAAGAAAGCACGGATATACGTTCCTCCTTCTGCGGCTAATCAGACTGCATCAACTGCTTCATCTGAACTTCCAGCTTCTTCAACCTCTTAAGGTGGGAGCACGATGAAGCTCGTTGATTGTTTGCATTCTCACCCTGGCTATGGAAATTTCGAGTTTGAATTGCTGTCTGTTCTTTGAGTTTCGACATATACCGCTGCAATTTTTACTAAGAACTATTCCCTAACTAGGCATTAGATGAAGCGTGATTAACTCCAAAGGATGGGGCATAGTTGGTTGTGGTGTTCCTCAATGTCATTTGATTGCGTTCTGTGCTGAAACATATTGCTTCCGTGCTTGTTAACTTGAAAATCTCAATGCTTTTAACTGCTTGGACTAGAAACAAGAACGATGTTAGTACACATTGCATTGTATCTTTCATTGGCAATACTGGTCTCAGGATCTTAGGTGATATGAGATGGATAATTCAGTGTACATTGAGGTGGGTTCTTTGATTTCCATAATATTTTTGGTGGGATTCTCTTTCATACAAGAGATGGGGCCGTGAAAAGGCAGGCTTTACATGCACATAATGGCTCATCCTTTTCCTTCCCTTGTTCTCTGTTTTCTGTTGAAACTGTCAAGATTATTCATCAATCTTTTGTCTTCGTGACTTTGTTTTTACAACGTTATTTATGGTTATCTATTGAACTATTATGCCATTTTTCTTGGTAACAGGCCATATGTATTGTCCAAGACATCAAGAAGGCTTCAGAGAAAAGCATCTAGGTGACACAATCTCAGATTTGCTCATGGTGAAGATTTTCTTACGGCTGAGGATTGCTGTCTGTGTTTTGAACTGATTAGCATTTATGAGTCTTGTTGTTTCTTGAACTCGGGGAAAAAAGGGATTCGGGCTTTAGTTTACAGCCCTTTTTGTGTGATATGCTGACTAGATTTCCAAATAAATCTGTTTTTCTTTTTCTAGTCAACTTCCTGGTGGCCAATCTTATTGCATTTCTGTCTGCAAGTGATCTTCACTCCGCAAAACAGACAAGTTATTTTCAATGCTTTCTTATTAAAGAAGTTAACTTTTCGGTTTCGCATTGTGCATATATCAGTGCATTTGATAACATATGTTGACTACGTTGTACCTCGGCTTCCACGTGCAGCATGTATCAGTGCATGCTGTGTCGTGTTATCTCCACCTGTGTTGTGCATGAGCTCCAGTGCTTACCTGGTGACAGCCAATCCTCTTGATTAAAGTTTTTTACCTTCCCCTTTAGCTCTATAAATCTATGACTACGCTTTTTCTTATTCGCATTCTACCTATGGATCAATCTGGCCCCTCCAGTCCATCTGCTCCTAAGAAAACTATTCGCAGGAGGAAAAGGCTGGTAGATTACATGGGTGTTCGTACGAGGGCATTGGGTAAGTTTGCTGCTGAAATTTCTGTTCCAAGAATGGGGAAAAGGTTGTGGTTGGGATCATATGATGCAGCAGACAAGGCAGCTAGAGCATATGATGCTGCCCTGTATTGTGTCCGTGGTGAGTGTGGGAAATTCAATTTTCCAGATGATAGACGGCCAGAACTCCCTAAGGCCCCCATGGATTCACTGTCAGAAGCAGAGATAAAGGCCATTGCTAATAAATTTGCTTTCTCGCGAGGCACTTCAGGCTTAACCTTGGTGTCTTCTTCTTCTTCTTCAGCTAGAACACCGGTGCATGCTGATAAATCAGATTCTGATTTACCAGTTTCTAGTGCAGCTGCTAAGAAGAGGGCATCTGAAGAGAAGGGGACAGAAGCAGCGTTAGAAGACTCACTTGATGATCTTGAAATGGATGATTTCCTGACGCTGGACCTTGAATGGGTAGATACCCTTTGAGGTGATCCAATGTTTTCAACATGGTGTCAAGGGAACCAAAGCATAAACAACCTTTTTAGCTTTCTACTATTTCCCATGTAACTTTCAGTTATGATTGTGGTTCTTGGATTATGCGGAATTGTGAGAAGCTTGGTTTTGAAGTTCTTAATAATGTTATTTGCTTATTGGGGGTATTGGAACCAAGCCTGCAACTTGACCAGCAATAGCAGTAGAATGATGAGTTTGTGTGTGTGCAGAGTGTACCTTCCCTCTTGCTATATTCCTTTCACAGCTAGGATTGCTACTGCTTAAGTTTAAGTTTATCTTGATCTTATTTTCGATTCAGTGAGTTCTGCATTTGGGCCTTTTTCTTTGTTCCAATGCTCTGTCCTTGCTTCCAGACAAGCAGCCTTGGATCTTTGGCTTTTTTGGTTTGAAAACAAAGTCTGCTACTTTTTCACCCATTTTTCTAAGGTACATGAGTCCAAGAGTCGATGTTATGGTTGTTGCATTTGCAAGAAGAGGGAAGAGACTGTTTTAGCAGCAGGGAAGGGTTCTGTCTGTCTGTATGTATGTTCCCCTACGCTGTTTGCCAGTTGGGTTATAAACGTTGCGGTTTATCCGATTATCGGATAATTGTTTACCACTGTTTATGTTACTCGGTTAACTAGTAACCGGATAATTGGTTATTGGTTACTTTTTCGAACACCAACTAACAAGTGATTTGAAAAGGATAACAAATGCTAATCAAAAGACTCTTAACACAAAGATCTATCATAGAGGAGAAATTACAAGAATTTTGCGGGTCAATCCGCTACAACAATGTGGCTGGCTTCTACCCTAAAAAAAAATGTGGCAGGTACGGAAATTCAAAATGAGTGGCATGAATAAATGACAAACACAAGGGAGTTCTACAATCCTCAAGCACCCTGAAAAAAAATGTTCGCTATCTTGAGAGTATACGCACCAACCTCCAGGCCTTCTTTGCCCAATCTAAAGAGCAGCAACCAACCCTGCGCAGACTGTTTCAGCTACACAGCTGCAGAAGCAGCACGCTCGTCCAGTGTAAGACACGGGCTTCGGATGGTAGGTGTGAAGCAGAGATGACCAAGCAACAGTTCGAAACGCTCCGCAGATGGGTGTATTCTTCATCTGTCCATGACTCATCAGTATTTCTTCGTCGCAATAAAGAAGCGGGAGGATCATCTCACGAATGCACCCTGGACGGGTGTATCCTTCCCCCAACCACAGTCTAACCGTCCTCCAGGTGATTCAGACCCTCACCTGGAGGATGTTTAAACTTGCAAGGATTTGGCATTGCTCCCAGTGAAGGACTCTGATGCCAATTGCCATCTCAGTCCTGATTAAACATCACAGTATGCCTCATCAAGCGAGCCTCAAGAGCCTTTGTACCTTGCAGTAAGGGCATTGCAATCTCAAGACATATAAGCTGTGGTTCTCTGTACAAGTAACATAGCACATGTATACTATGCAGAAAAAGGCATGACCTATGGTTAACACATCTAACTAAGCATTAAGTAGTTGAAGTTAAGGAGCAAGACCTTGAGGTATACCTTGAAATTACTGGGCAGGGCCTGAATATCCGATGGATTCTTTGTAGCTTACACTGAAAGAAAAGGCTTTCTCAATATGGAGCCAGTGGAATAATTTTACATGAAGATGCTGCAGGGTTGAGGGCCAGCTCTAGATAACCGAGGAAACTAAAATGGATACCGATAACTTCTTACCCGCAAAACATGAATTGCTGAAAGAAACCAAAGGGCGTGGAGAAGGAATTATCTGCCATTAGATGCCCCAATTGCACGCACTACAGCAGCAGACACATCTGCTAATCCTAGTGCAGAATCTTACTTTCTGGGAACAAAAATTTACTACCAGTAATTTCTGCAAGAGCATTCACCATCCTTGAAGTGATGAAACCTCTTCCCATCTCTCACCACAATCTCTCTCCCCACAACTTTTGAAATATATTTGATAGCATTGTGGCAATCACCACATATCCTTAGGTTCTTGAACACTCTAACAGTGGCTCCTCGTGGAAGTTTCAGGAGCCCAAAGGCAACAGCAAGTTTCTCACTGTGAGTAGAAATAGCATGCTCCTTTTGGTCAGATTCCATATCATGCAAAACGAATCTTGTGTCTGGCACGTACCCTAACTTCCTCATTTCCAAGACGAGCTGCTTCAGATAACTGTAGACAGCATTAACTTCAGGATGTGCAGTGTCATCGACCATGAATACGTGGAACTTGTTTTCGGCTTCAACCCAGCTACATGCAGGCTCCTTTTTAACCCCTTGGTCTCTCATCAGCTTCCTAACTCTCGACACATTATCCCAAAGCCCCTTTGCAGCATACATATTTGACAGAAGGATATAGGTTCCATCGTTTTGAGGGATCATCTCAAAGAGCCGCTCAGCAGCTTGGATTCCCAATTCCATGTTCCCATGATTCCGACAACCTGCAAGGAAAGCTTCCCATATCTGTGGGCCGGGCTGAAAGGGCATTTTTCCTATCATATCATTTGCATCTGAGAACTTTCCAGCCCGGCAGAGCAGATCAACCATGCGGGCATAATGATCCTCACCTGGGGTAATGCCATAAATATCGTGCATTGCGTCAAAATATCGATGTCCTTCCTCGACTAAACCCGCGTGGCTGCAAGCAGAGAGAACTGTCAGGAAGGTAATGCGATCAGGCAATATACCTTCCTTCAGCATCTCTTCGAAAAGTTCAACAGCTTGCACACCATGCCCATGCTGGCCCAGGGCAGCAATCATCGCATTCCATGAAACTGAATCTACAACTGACATGGTGAGGAATAGATTCCGCGCATCCCCTACAACGCCACATCTTCCATACATGGTAATCAGTGCATTACCCGCAGAAAGGCTACACTCAAAACCGAGCCGGATGAGTTGAGAATGGAGCTGGCGTCCAGACTTCAATGATCCAAGTGCAGCACATGAAGTAATAGCTCCAGCAAATGCATAATCACATGGTTGAAAACCCTGTAGTTTCATCAGGTTGAATAGCTTCAAACTCTCTTCACCAAGTCCATTCTGTGCTAACCCTGCTATCATCACAGCCCATGTCAGAAGGTTCTTTTCTGGCATCTCCTGGAAGATTTCCTTAGCTTCATTCATGCGGCCACTATTGACGTAGCTTGACAACATCGCATTCCATGATACCAGGTCTTTCACCCGCATCTTATTGAATACGAGTCGGGCATCATCAAGTTTAGCACATTTTGAATATAAAGTGAGCAGTGCATTATTCACAGGCAAATGCAAACCTGGTTTAGGTTTAGGCCCTGAGATGAGTATGTAAGCATGTATCTGCCTGCCGAGAAGAAGGAAACTAGCATTGGCGCATGCACTTATGATGCTGGTGTATGTAAACTCATCAAATTGAACTCCAGATAAATACATCTTCTTAAACATCTTGAAAGCTTCCTGCAACAACCCTCTATGAACATAACCAGAAATCATCGCATTCCAGGCAACTACCAATTTCTCCTCCATCCCATCAAACAACTCTCTCGCTTCATCAAGGTCATCATTCTTCACATAACCAGTGATCATTGTCGTCCACGACAACTCATCTTTCACAGGCATTTCATCAAACAACAGTCTGGCCGAACCCATCACTGACTTCGGTAGCGCCACCAAAGGAGACAATGCAACCTTCACATAAGCAGACACAAGCGCATTCAACACCGAAGTAACAAACCCTGTTCCCGACTTGACAACCACACAATGCAACTGCTGGCAGTGCTTCTCGCTCTCTGCAACAAGCCCCACCGCAGAGATAACACTCGTAAAAGTGAAATTATCAGGCCGGAAACCGTCCCTCTGCATCTCACAGAACAGCCGGATGGCAGCATTGCCATCATTGTCATGAGAATGAGCCGTGATCATCGCGTTGTAGAACACCGTATCGCGCATCCCTTTGGGAGTCCCACCGAACACCTCCCTCGCGAGGTTAACGTTTCCAGTGGCAGAGTAGGCAGTGACCATCGTCGTTCTGGCCACTATGTCCGGGTGAGGAATTTCGTCGAACAGTAGGCGGGCATGCCGTAGCCGGCCGGACTTGCAGTAGATATCGATCAGGCGGTTCAAGATGGGGCCGCGCAGGTTAAATCCGGAAGCGACTGCGTGGGCATGGACGGTCCGGGCGAGGTAGGCAGAGAGCGGGGTTTGGCGAGGAGAGCAGAGCTGCTGGAGAAGGAAAGCGTATCGGCTTGCAACTGCGCCAACAGTGTTGGAACAGTTCATATTCGTGAGAGTATGGAAGTTTCATAGCTTTGAGGAGCGGCGTTTAACGTCGGCCGGAGTGAATGGGTGAACGGAAGGCATGGTTTCCGTCCATCGGCAAAGTTTGAAATAGAAGCGACGGCGCTCTGTTTTGGAGGCAGAAGCCGCCTCCTGAACCATAGAGGAAGTTTGAATTTGAAAGAGAAGGAAGTCAAGGAACCACGCAAGGCCGATCCGAGTAGGGATGGCAACAAAACCCAAACCCACGGGTACCCACCCGATCCAACCCGGTCAACGCGGGTAAAATCCGTGTTGACGGGTTTTGGGTCGGGTTCGGGTTTAAACCCGCTACACTATTCACCGGGTCGGGTTGGGTTTGGGTTTAGGTAAACCCGACCCATGGGTACCCGCCCACACACATATAATTACTTTCCCGGTATATTTAATATTCTAAATAATATATTTTCCTTAAATAATTAATATTTTTTATGTTTGTGGAGACATGTATAATTTGTTCTTTCTAATTGTTTAGAATGAAGTTGATATTATGAAGTGGAGAGTGAAGAAACTTAGTTGAGGAGTAAGAAACTTTCAATTAATCTTTTGTTTATAGATGTTTATCTTTAATTTTGAACAATTTGTATTGATCATTTGCGGTTTGCTTGTATGCTCTAGATTGGTGTTTTTTTGTATGATTAATTTGTATGAGAAAATTGATGTTAAACTTTTATTTTGAAAGAAACTTGTTATTGTAAATTTTTTACCACAAAAACCCACGGGTACCCATGAACCCGCAGATACCCAGCGGGTTGGGTTTGAGTTTTTCAAACCCAACGGGTTTTACCCCGGGTTTTTTTGGCGGATAAACCCATGGGTTTGGGTTTGACAAAACCCGCCCCCAACCCGACCCATTGCCATCCCTAGATCCGAGGCAGAACTTTTTTTCTTTTACCAATTTCACCGTTTGTCGATCTATCCTTGCGGGCCTGTTTCTTTTCTCTATGCAGGCTTCTTCGTGGTCTAGACCCAACACTAGCCCAAGCCCACTCCTATCCTGATTTTTAAGGGTTAATTGCATGGTTGGTCACTGAGATTATAAAAACGTTAAAGTTTGGTCACTCGAAATATTTAAATCCATTGGTGGTACTTCACTTTACGAACCGCCTTCGGCAAAACCCACAACCAACCGATGGCTGAAGGCGTTAGTAACGGCGAGAAGAACTTCGTCCCGCTGTTGAGGAGAGCGGTGGACATTCTAGCGCAGTTCTGCTTCCAGGGCTCGTTCCCGATTCTCGGGTGGGTCAACGCGTTGACTGGGTTTGACTCCAAGGTCAGGAAGGTGTCCAGGGAAGTCAACGACTTCCAAGACACGGTCATCGACGACCACAAGAAAAGAGTTGTCGTTGCGGAAGATGATAGGTTTAGATGACATGTCGGGCCTCAATGACGTGGTGGGTCGGGTCAGACTATTTTTGGATTAAATAGTGTTGATTAGGCGATTCCGTCAGCCACGTCATCACTTAACGGACTTCGTTAACGGCGATGGACGGCAACTAACAGAGAGTGACCAAACGTGAACGGTTTTCGTAAAGTGAAGTACCACCAATGGATTTAAAAAAAATAATAATTTAACTAATTGTCTTATTTTATAAAATGAGTCATTTAAAACGATTCAATTGCATTAAAAAAAAACTGATTCAATTGAATTGTCTGCCCCCCACTCTGGATCACTGAATTGCCTCAAAACGAGTCCATTAGAAATTTCCCAGCCAGAACTGCTTCATCTTAATTGTGTATTTCCAAACGAATTAATTCGACCAAATTGACTCAAAACAAAGCAATTTGGTCAAATTAATTCGTTAAAACTCCTCGTCCAAACGACTCTATATGAGTGCATGATCTGTTCGGATTATATGAATTCATTTCAAATTAATATATTCTTAAATACAACTTTGCTCGAGAACGAAAAGGAAGCCAGAATATTAGCTTGAGTAATGCATATATAATAATATTGGTGATGAGAATTCCAATGCTCCAAAAATTGAAGAGTTCCTTCTGCAAGTGTGAGACCACTCTAGTACGTTGATTTAGCAGTAGCACCACTACTAGACTTGTAGAAGCGAGCGCACTGAGGGATGATGCATTTAAAGCCCCCTCGTGGCAGTTTCGGACTTGCTGCTGCTGCTTCCATTATTCTATCGTCGGAGATACTCATCATCGGCGCCATTGCAGCAGCAGCAGCAGCTGGTGGCGGGAGCAAAAGCTGCACCTTCCTCCCAGTCTTCAGCACAGCTCTCACCACTTCTTTCCTCTCCATGTAACCCATTACCGTTATCTTGCTAGCAATATTCTTTGACGACGATGATGGCGATGATGATCCTCTATCTATTTGCACGCATCTCACCCCTGCAATCAAATTCAACTCTTTGGTTTAATATATCTACGGAGGGTCAAAGAGAGGCAAAACAAGGGCTGGCTGGCTGGCTGGTTAGTTTGCTAGTGACCTTTGAGGTTGCACAAGGCTTTGCGCACTGTTTTCTCGCACGCCTTGCAATGCAAGCGGACCTTCAGTTCCACAACCTCCATGGATATGGCGATATCCAAACGTAGCTAGTGCTCAGTAAGATGGTTATATGTGAACGTTGGTGTTATAAATAGTTTGGGAAAACTGAAAGAGGTTTGTTGAGACTAATAATTACGATGGATGGATATAGGCATCGATTACAATGAGAACACGCGTTCATGTGGGAGCTGTATATATCCCTTTGGTTTCAAGCAATCTTTATATGCATATAATATCATAGTTTTGAAGCACATTATGATTGCATAACAGCTCAAAGTACCAAACAAAGCCATCACTGGTGGTGGGTGCGGATTTTTTTTAATGTAGAATTTAATTTTTTTTTTAAGGAAGCAATGCATTTAATATGAATTTTAATTTTCAAAAGTGTAATTGATATTAAAAAAATTTAATAATATAGTTTATTGGCATACTCAAATTGTTTTAGGTTTTGAAATGACCACCGGATAGGGGGTTATCGTCGTACCTCAAAAGTTGGACAGCGATTGAGGGCAGTTGGGATTTTGGTGCCCCGGGGGAAATTGTAGAAATTTTAAGTTTTAGTTTTTAATAGTTGTAAGAATTAGGTGGAAAATTTAAAAGATTAATTTTTTTTTATTTTTTTAAAATTGTCATGTCACGCAATCAACTACGAAAATTGTATGTCACATCAGGCAAAGTTAATGAAGTTGGAGGGAGAGTGATCAAACTTCAAACATTGAAGACTGAAATAAAATATTTTTTAGCCACCAAACATAATTTTTTTTTTATAATAATTCCAATGATCAAACTTGCAATTTACCCTTACTTGCGGTCTTTTCAGACAAACCAGTTTAATTATATGTTGAAACTCTACGATTTTCCGCCCCCGACTTCTCCCCTCATATTCACTCATTCCAAAACGTTAATCAATTAAGCTCCAAAACCAATGCTAAACCCATTAATCAATTGATAATTTGGAGTTAAGACTTAAGTGCAAGATCTCAACCTCCTACAAACTAGCTATAGACTATAGAGAGAAAAAAACATAAGGTTTAGAAAAGGGGAATCAAAGCCGGCCATATATATATATCGACCAAAATAGCAAATGGACTGTCTAGCGCGACCAAATACGACACCAACGTAGGCTATGAGTCTGCCGCAGAACGAGAATATTATCGAACTCCAACCATTTTTACCAGTCCCTATATAAGAACACCCCAAAACCCCAACACATAATCTCATCATCACAACAAAAAGAATCACACACACATATATATATATCGTATAATTAATCATGGTGTTGATAGCGATGATTGCAGCAACTCCTGCTCGCACCACTGTGTTGATAGCGATGATTGCAGCACTACTACTACTACTTGTAGGGCACGCCGCCGAGGCGAAATGCCTCACCACCGACATCGTCGGCGGCGGGCCTTGTGACGATAGCTACGCTTCCTGCGTATCCTTCCTCATCACGTCGCTGCGCGACCAGACACCGAAGGTGGATGGATTCCAGCACGACCAGTACTCGTTCCCCGACGGAAGCGTTGGTTCGGTCACAGGTGCTGCCAGTTGTTCCCCGAACAAGGATAAACAGCACTGCGAGAGTTGCCTTGCCAAGGCCAAGACCTCGCTGGACCGCTGCAAGGACTCCGGTGGCATCGTCAACAACGATGACTGCACCATGTGGTTCGACCAGATCCGTTGATCCCGTAATAATTTGATATGAAATGCCCCCGGGCGCGCGCGGCCCAGTACGTGTTATTTTAGCTAGCAGAATAATCCACCGAGGGAACTGAAGAGAAAGGTGTATGATCACTTTTTTTTTTCTTTTCCGGCCGGTCACTTTTTCCTCTTTTTGTGTCTTTGAAATTGCGTTTAGGTCATGGGGTCGTGCTTTGCTAGTTTTAATTTCCTCGTTTTTGGGATTCATCAGCGCAAGTTAATTTGCTTTGTAGTTTCACCCTTTCAATTTAGTCTTGAGAACCTTCAGCTTACCATAAAATAGCTAGTAATCAATGGCACTTACTCAAACCTGGCAGGGGGACTAACCTTAGTCCAGAGTGGCTTTAGAGACGTACGAATGGTATAGCACGTGGCATAATTGGTTCTTGAAAAGAATTTCTGAAATATATCAAACTCAGCCGTGGGAGTTGGGACTAATTTAGTCTTCTTAGTGTTGTGGTATATGATCCACGATTGAATATTTCCAAACAACTCGAGTTATTGGTATCAACTGGTTCTAGACATTAAGTAGCTTTAAAAACAGAATGGTACATCACGTGGCATAATTGGTTCCAAAAAAGAAATTCTGAAATATATCGAGAATAAATTACAATTTTATATCATAATGAACAATTTATATTGTGTAAAAGAAATTTCAAAATTAAAATTAAAATGAAGGAGGTAAAGGGTGGTAGCGAACTAGCGGGTGATCAGAAATTTTCTTTCCTGAATTATATAAAAATTGACGCAGAACTCTCTTTGATTTGCTTCCCAAATGCGGAACTCTCTTTGATCCGCCTAGCCCAAACGTGGATCTCTCCTGAATCCACCAAACATACGCGAGTCACCCTAGACTGCCAAATGTTAGAAACACGTTTTCTAAGGAAAACGAGTTTCTATATTATCCGGGTCGTGGAGCAGCAGCGGCAACAACGAGTCGGGCGGGCCACGCTCGAGTTCTTGGGCCGAACAGATCGGCGGGGCGGGCTAGCACGAACGGGCCCTCGGCTGCGTACACACAGACAAGCAGAGGGACTAAATAATGAAGATGGGCCTCATATAAGCCCTATGGAATCTCTTTTACATAGTGTGGGCTTGAATATGAAGAAAGAAGGATTTATGGGCTTAGATGAGCACTCTGATACTTACTTTGTGGATTTTGGAAAGTGGGGTGGACAGTCAGTAGGCTATGGCTAGGGATGGCAATCAAACTCATGATCGCGGGTATCCGACCGCCCCTGACCCAGTCAACGCGGGGAATCCCCGCTTTGACCGGGTATGGGGCGGGTATGGGTAAAACCCGCAAAAAGTTTGATGGGTATGGGGCGGGTATGGTTTTAGCCTCCCCCGCCCCATACCCATCCCCATACCCGCCCCACCAAGATAATTTCTTCATATATAAAAAAATATGTGCATCAAATTATAATCTATCAATGACTATGAGAATAACTTGAGAAAATAAATAGTAGAAATGCAATTGATTGACCACCTTAATCAAAATCTAATTCATTTCTCTCAATTCTCATTTCACTCTTTCACTTTCCCGTTGTCAACAAGATTATGTTAGTTAATTATTATTTAGTAGATGTATCACAGTTAGAACATAATAATTTGAAAAATATTATACTCTATGTTATGTATTAATGGATACTTTAGGATCGTAATTTTTGAACTATATTAAAAAAATGACCGTGTTTTATTGACTTCGTGATTTAATATGTTCGTTTAGAATTGTAATTAGAACTTTTCTTGTAAATTTTAGGTATAATAATGTTGGATGTACGGGTATGGGTATTACCCATGGGTACCCGAAACCCACGGGTATGGGAATGGGTTTGCAAAACATTCCCCCGCATGGGTATGGGGCGGGTATGGGTTTGGGTATTTGAAGATGGGTATGGGGATGGTTTAAGCAAACCCGCCCCAAACCCGCCCCATTGCCATCCCTAGCTATGGCTACGACGCTAGCCACGTGGATAAGGAGGAATTCATTATTTATGACGACATAAAATTGTTAATAATAAAAAAATGATCTCACAAATGAAATCACCCATGACGAATTAATTTGACGAAATGTTTTTTCGACGATAAATCTATTTATTTTTGACGAATTATATTCGTAAATAATCAAGAAGTTCTGACTAGCCGTCATAACTACTATTTATACTAACGTCCACAAATCGTCAAAAATAAATATTTGTGATGAGAATTTGAGACCGATTTTTTTTTTACGTTGTACACATATTTATGAGGTTGTTTGGGCGTCAATAATGAATTATTCTCGACAGGCAGTCAGAAATATTATTTGTACTGATACCAACAAAGTTTCGTTAAAACTACTTTTTGTCCAACATGTCGTCGGGAAAATTTTATATACCGAGGACAACTATTTAGCATAAAAAATAAAAAATATGTTATTCCAACACTTGGGAAATATTATATTTACTAATCACACTTACTCATCTTCAATAATTTAATTTTCCAACCCGTGAAATTATATGTACTAACCCTTTTTCCATACGTATACTTCATTTTTATTGTTAAATCAAGTAATTATAAAAGAAAATGTCAAAGTTAGTTCAAATAACGTAATAAAATAAGATAATAATAGTCTATGTATCAAAACCCTAAAATAGAGATAATGTAATGAGGGATAGTACAGATACAGAGCTTTGGCATACAAAGCTTGTGAGATTCGGTGGATACAATACCTGCTTAAAGACTTCCAAGCATCCTATTCATCACCAGCTGCTCTGTACCGCGACAATCAAAGCGCAGTTTACATCGCCAAGAATCCCTCTTTTCACGAACGAACCAAACACATCGAATTGGACTGTCATTTCATTCGTGAAAAGCTTTAATCTGGCACTCTCAAGCTGCTTCACATCTCTTCAGTGCACGGCAGATATCTTCACCAAACCTCTCTCCCCATCTCATTTCCTCTCATTGTTGTCCAAGCTTTGTGTGTGCAACATATGCCCACCAGCTTGTTGGGGGTGGGGGGGGGGGGGAGATTGAAAATCATTTCAATTGCAACGGTCATCATCGCAGCGACGACGTTTCATCCCTAGCGAACTGTTTCTCCTTCTGTTGCGTCGTTTCATGAGTCAGCCCACTTCTTCGAACGATGCCGTTCTAGCGAGACACTTTCACTTGTTAGAACGATGTCGTTCCCTTCTTCTTTCGACTGTACTTTGCTTTAGTTCCAAGTCATGTAATGTTTTCCTTTCCAAGCTACCAAACAAACCATCCATGGAGCTTGTCCTGTAATGGTTTTCAACTGCCTATAAGAGGCAGAGTTTCTAATGAGAAAGACAAGTTTTAGGGTTTTCTCCTCTCTCCATGTTCTTTGTTACCCTGCAATCAAATCCAACTCTTTGGTTTAATATCTACGGAGGGTCATTGGGAGCAAAACAAGGGTTGGCTGGTTAGTTTGCTAGTGACCTTTGAGGTTGCACAAGGCTTTGCGCACTGTTTTCTCGCACGCCTTGCAATGCAAGTGGACCTTCAGTTCCACAACCTCCATGGATATGGCGCGATATCCAAACGTAGCTAGCTAGGTAACAAAGGAACAAGATGGAGTGACTGAAAACCTAATTTCTACTTTCTCATTCATCAAATCCGCCTCTTATAGGCTCAGTAAACCATACAAACAGACAAGCTTCCATGGACATTGTTTGGTAGCTTGGAAAGGAAACCAAGTCTGACTTGGAGTAAAAGAAAGTACAGCTTAAAGGAGAAATAAAGAAACAACAGCGCATCATCAAGCTTCTTCGGTGAACATAAATGAAACGGCAGCGGAGCAAGTGGATCTTCTCAGCGATGGTGAAAACGGCAGCGCAGCGGCATCTTAACAGTGACAAAGACAAAACGACGATGGAGAAGCAGACGACCGTTGGAGTTGAAATTCGATTTCACTCTGTTACCCCCCCCCCCCCCCCCCCCCCCCCGGCAAGCTGGTGGGCAGAGGTTTCGCACACCGAGCTTGGAAAGCAGAGAAAGAAATGGTGCAGGGGAGAGTGGTTTGGTGAAGAGATCGGCCAATTGATGTGCTGAGGAGATGTGCAAAAGTTTTAATGTTCCCAATTGAAGCTTTTCCCTTACAAAGTGGCAGTCGAGCTCGATATTCTTCGTCCTCTCATGGAAGGTGGGATTCTTGGCTATATGAATGGCGCTCTGATTGTCACAGTACAAGGATGCTGGTGTAGAAGAAGAAACCTGGAAGTCTTGGAGAAGGTATTGCAACCACTGGATTTCACAAGCAGTAAAGGCCAGAGCTCGATATTCTGCCTCACAAGAGGATCTTGAAACGGTATGTTGTTTTTTGCTTTTCCATGAGATGAGGGAATCACCCAAATAGATGCAGAATCCAGTGGTAGAGCGCCTTGTATCCACACAGGCTTCCCAGTCAGAATCTGTGAATGCTTTGAGATGAAAAGATCCTTGGGATGGGAAGAAAAGACCTGTTGCTGGTGCTGTTTTTAGGTACCTCAATACTCGAAGAGCAGCCTTGTAATGAGTGAGTGATGGGTTGGACATGTACTGACTTAGTTGCTGTGTAGCAAAGCTAATGTCAGGGCGGGTGGTAGTGAGATAGATGAGCTTCCCTACTATTGTTCTGTAGTGTTCTGGATCCTCAAAGGGAATGTCAACTTCATTGCTGAGATGTAGTTTGTAATCCATAGGAGTGTGGTAACTGATTTTGAGTTAATGATATTTGCCTCTTCCAGAATCTCCAATGTGTACTTTCTTTGAGAAAGATGTATACCTGTCTTACTTCTTGCAACTTCAATTCCCAGAAAGAATCTTAGGTTGCCAAGGTCTTTAATGTTGAATTCTGAATGTAGAACCTGTTTCAAAGCTTGAATTTCATCCAAATCATTGCCTCCCAAAACCAAGTCATCAACATAAATGAGGATGCATGTGTAGCTATTTTCTGTGACTTTGAAGAAGAGTGAGTGATCAGCTTTGCTCTGGACATAACCAACTTGTAGAAGCTTGTCAGTAAGCTTAGAGAACCATTGTCTTGATGCCTGTTTTAGGCCATAGAGGGATTTTCTTAACCTGCAGACTGGATTTGGGATGTCAGGAGGAGGGGTGAATCCTTTAGGCAATGTCATATAGACTTCTTCTTCTAAGTCACCATTTAAGAATGCATTGTCTACATCCAACTGGTGAATGTGCCAATTTCTGAGGGCAGCAATAGCTAGGAAGGTTCTAACAGTAGTCATCTTGATAACAGGAGCAAATGTATCTTGAAAATCAATGCCTTCCTACTGTGTATTTCCTTTTGCAACCAACCTGGCTTTATGTCTTTCCAGAGAGCCATCAGATAAAAATTTGTCTTTGTAGATCCATTTATTTCCGACTGGTTTCTTGTTGGGTGGTAAAGAGACAACATCCCAAGTGTGATTTTTGATCAAGGCCTGAATTTCATGCTGCATAGCCTGATTCCAGACATCAAGCTTAGAAGCCTCTTTGTATGATTGTGGTTCTTGATGACTGGAAATGTTTAATAGAAACCTTTTGAATGGATCAGACAAGTTGTTGTAAGAAATCATTGAAGATAGAGAATACCTGTTGTCTTGGATCTGTTGCAGGTTGAGATGATTGGAACTGCTAGGACCTTGTGCAAGGTAACAGTGGTAGTTTTTGATTAGGTGAGAGGGAGGTTTGATTGTTCTGTCTGATCTTCTGAGATTTTGTGGAGGAGGTGGGTTTGGAGGGGAGGATGGTGGAGATGAATTGGTTGGTGATGGAGGTGTAGGGTGGTGTGGAGAAGAAGGTGGGGATGGATTGATTTCTGGGTCAGGAGGAGGATGTATTGGAGGAGAGGAGGGAGTAGTGGTTGTAGGGATGGGATTATTGTCATGAATAAGATTTGAGTCTGGGGATGGGAGAGGGAATATGAGATCTGATGTAGAGGTGGAGGAATCATCAGACTGTATTTCTTGGAAGGGAAAATGAGACTCATAGAATATGACATCTCGTGAAGTAAATACTTCATGAGATTGTAAATCATATAGCCTGTATCCTTTGATGCCAGGAGTATATCCTATGAATATTGTTTTTCTAGCTCTAGGTTGGAACTTTGTTCTGTGATTGGCTAGGGTGGAGGCATAGCAAAGGCAACCAAAAACTCTTAACTCTGTGAGGTCAGGTGGCTGTTTGTAGAAAAGATGATAGGGTGTCTGGTTTAGAAGAACTGCTGTGGGAACTCTATTAATGAGATGGACAGCATGTTTTACACAATCTGCCCAGAAAGCTGGTGGCAGATGAGCTTGGAATTGGAGAGCTCGAGCCACAGCAAGAATGTGTTAATGTTTTCTCTCAACTTTGCTATTCTGTTGTGGGGTTTCTACACAGGACATTTCATGAGAAATGCCTGTTGATGTGAAAAAATCATACATTTGGAATTCTTGGCCTTGATCAGACCTGATGGTTTTGATTTGTTTTTGAAATTTTCTTTGCATCTGAGTGCAGAAAGCTATCAGTTTTGGTCTAGTTTCTGATTTGAGATGGAGAAGAATGATCCATGTCATTCTAGAGAAGTCATCCACAATTGTCAAAAAATACTTGTAGCCATCATAAGAAGGGATAGAGTTAGGACCCCAGATATCTACATGGAGTAGTTCAAGGGGGTATTGAGTTACAGACTGGCTTACAGGAAATGAAAGACGTTTTTGTTTTGCAAAATGACATACATCACAAGGTTGATCTCTCTGTGTGGTAATGGAGGTACAAAATTGGCTGAGAATAGGGATTTTAGAGTGGGAAACATGTCCTAATCTAAAGTGCCATAAGTCAAAGGGAGTTCTGGAAGCTGCAGAGATCAACTTAGGGGTGTATGTTGCTTGGAGGTAATAAAGGCCATTGTGAAGGCTAGCAGAACCAATCACTCTCTTCTGCTCCAGATCCTGTATAAGACACATGGTAGATTGAAAAGATAAGCTGAGGTTTGATGTGGAGGTGAGTCTGCTCACAGATAGAAGGTTGAAGGAAAAATTGGGAACAAACAGTGCATTTTGAAGGGTGATTGCATCATTGCAAACAGCTGTGCCAGAATGTGTGGCTTGGACTTTAGTTCCAGTGGGTAGAGTTATGAAGATGTTTGTCAATGGTTGAGGATCTTGTAAGTAAGAGAGGGAGCAGACAATGTGGTCTGATGCTCCAGTGTCGACTATCCACATTGTCTGTGTAGAGGAAAAAACATTAAAGATAGGAGTTGGAAGAATACCTTTGTTGGTGACAAAGGCAGCAGCAGAGAAAGAGGTTGTAGGTTTTTGAGCATTCATCAGGCTCATAAGCTTGTCATAGTCAGCTCTTGAGAGTTTGACTTCATCTGATGGAGCATTAGTGATAGCAGAGTTCACAGCAGGTCTTCCTCGACCAGCAACTGAATTTGGGTTCCTAGGCACAAAATTAGCAGGATAGCCATGTTTTGAAAAACACTTGTCTTCAGTGTGTCCCCTCTTTTTGCAGTAAGAACAAGTGGTGATTGTGCTAGGTGTCAAGGAGGAAGGTCTGGTCATTCCAGGAGGCCATCCATATTTCTGGAAACATATGTCTTCAGTGTGACCTTCCCTTCTGCAGAATGTGCAGTAAGGAGGTTTGGAATTTTGGTTTGGCCTCCTGTTGCCTCCTTGAAATGCCATTGCTGAAGAATCTGTTTCATAGATGCTATTAACTTTCCAGATTGAGTTCCATAGAGTTGTCTTTCGTGTTGAAGCATCCTTTGGAAGACCCTGTTGATGTTTGGCAATTCATCTCCAAATAGGACTTGAGCTCTGACTCCAGAGAAATTTTCATTGAGGCCTCTGAGGAACTTAATAACATAACTTGTTTCTTGGTACTGATGAGCAGTTAGCATGCCAACACAGGTATTGTGACTGGTTGGGGTACAAGAGCATGGCAGTAGAGGTTGATAATTCTCTAACTCATCTTTGAGAGTAATCATTCTACCATAGTACTCAGTTACAGTCTGGTTACCTTGCTGAAGTGAAGAGAGTGCTTCTTCAAGCTCTGCAATGCGAATAAGATCACCAGATCCATATATGGTTTGAAGACTTTTCCAAGCTTCTGCTGCTGTTTTGCTGGAGAGAATGGTCTTGCGGATCTCTGAAGAAGTGGCTTGCTGGATCCAGCTGAGAATCATAACATTGTTGCGTGTCCAAACTCCATGTCTTGGATCTGTGGGTGGTGGTTCTGGAATGGAAGCATTGATGAAACCCAGCTTGTTTTTGGCTGCAAGGGCATTGAGCATAGCTCTGCTCCAATCATTGTGGTTGGTTGCTGTGAGTTTTTCAGCAACAAGAAGGGATCCAGGTTGCTCAGAACCATGGAGGAAGAAGGGGTCAGATGCATGATCAAGAATATTTGGTGGATCTTGTGGTTGAGGGTCTGGCTGTTGCTGTTGTTCGGCTTGATTATCAGCCATTGGAAAAGAGGGGTGGCGGCTAGGGTTTTATCCCAGGCTCTGATACCATAACAAAGGAACAAGATGGAGTGACTGAAAACCTAATTTCTACTTTCTCATTCATCAAATCCGCCTTTTATAGGCTCAGTAAACCACACAAACAGACAAGCTTCCATGGACATTGTTTGGTAGCTTGGAAAGGAAACCAAGTCTGACTTGGAGTAAAAGAAAGTACAGCTTAAAGGAGAAATAAAGAAACGACAGCGCATCATCAAGCTTCTTCGGTGAACATAAATGAAACGGCAGCGGAGCAAGTGGATCTTCTCAGCGATGGTGAAAACGGCAGCGCAGCGGCATCTTAACAGTGACAAAGACAAAACGACGATGGAGAAGCAGACGACCGTTGGAGTTGAAATTCGATTTCACTCTGTTACTAGGCTTATTCTTTGATGTACTAGAACGTTGGTGTTATAAATAGTTTGGGAAAGCTGAAAGAGGTTTGTTAAGACTTATAATTACGATGGATATGGATATAGGCATCGATTGCAAGGAGAGAACATGAGTTCATGTGGGAGCTGGTTTGTTGACTGATAGGTGGGTGGACCGTGTAATTATTTTCTTCCTACTCTTTCCACCATACTATATCTATATAGTTTCGCTTTCAGTAACCCTTAATTAGGTTTCAAGCCATCTTTATGTACTATATGTATATTTGTATGATGTGTTCTCCATCGCGTGTGTGTGTGGTATCATCATAGTTTTGAAGCACGTATATATGATTGCATAGCAGCTCACTATTCACACGAGCTCACGGGAGAACTTCATGTTCTAGTTCATCATCAGTAGACTTTATTCTGGCAAAAATAAGTTAGTGCATGCATGTTCGTTGTCCAAGGTTTAAAGGTCATTACATATAGATAGAAAGTTACGCACGCACAATGACTTAGCATCTAACTGTATGTTAAATATCATTAGCTTCGGTTCAATCGGGATTGGAGGACCAACAACTTTTTTGTTTCATTATAACAAATTTTGAAACGTGTGTTAAGAAGTTTGAAAAAAGTTATTCAATCGAAAACTATATTCGTATCCCAAAGGTTGACATTTTTATTTCGTTCTCTAATAACATCAATCTTCATTTAAAATAAAAAGTAATGTTGTAATTAACTTATACATATCTAGGTAAACCGCCGCGAAGTGTGGGCTAATTATCTAGTAAAATTCTACGATGTAACTTTTATTTTTTGTTTTTATTTTTTCTAGTTGATTGGAATATTTGAGTTTATTTATGGTGCCAAGTAAAAATGTATAGTTTTATAAAAAAATTTGTTTCAAAAGGTTTAAATCTTGGGTATGGTCAACTTTATCTTCTCACACTACAACTAGGATAATCCCTTTCGGGTTAAGAAAACCATACTTCTCGCCCTCATATTCACTCATTCCAAAACGTTAACCAATTAAGCTCCAAACAAAAAAAAAACAATGCTACTAACCCATTAATCAATTAATACTTAGTATGGAGTTTGACTTAAGTACAAGATTTCGATTCCCCCTGCAAACTAGCTAGACATGAAACAAAAGCTTCAGAAAGGGGAATAAAAGGCGGCCATATCGACCACAACAACAATGAACTGCTTAATTAATTATACGACCTATATACGTGCAGAACAGATGTGAATACGACACCAACGTGCGCTATGAGACTGCCGCATAATGAGAATATTATCGAACTCCAACCATTTTAACCAGTCCCTATAAACAACCCCAAAACATAATCTCAGCAAAAACAAAAAAGGACCACATATGGATCGTATAATTAATCATGGTTTACCATATTAACTCCGCAACTCCTGCTCGCACCACTGTGTTGATAGCAGCAGCACTACTACTACTCGTAGGGCACGCCGCCGAGGCGAAATGCCTCGCCGGCCTTGTGGCGATAGCTACGCTTCCTGAGTATCCTTCCTCATCACGTCGCTGCGCGACCAGACACCGAAGGTGGATGGATTCCAGCACGACCAGTACTCGTTCCCCGACGGAAGCGTTGGTTCGGTCACAGGTGCTGCCAGTTGTTCCCCGAACAAGGATAAACAGCACTGCGAGCGTTGCCTTGGCAAGGCCAAGACCTCGCTGGACCGCTGCAAGGACTCCGGTGGCATCGTCAACAACGATGACTGCACCATGTGGTTCGACCAGATCCGTTGACCCCGTAATAATTTGATATGAAATGACCAGAATAATCCACCGAAGGAACTGAAGAGAAAGGTGGTGCGGCGGCAAGCCTAGCTAGCTGATGGCTAGTTAGTTTAATTAGCGTTGCTCTATGTATCACATTTTTTTTCCCGGTCGGTCACTTTTTTTTTTGTTTTTAATCTTTTTGTGTCTTTGGAATTGCGTTATACGTCCTGGGGTCGTGCTTTAGTAGTTTTTAATTTCCTAGTTTTTGGGATTCAGTACAAGTTAATTTGCTCAGTAGTTTCCCGTTTTCAATTTAGTCTTTGAGAACCTTCTGCTTACCATACAAGACAGCATTATGCTTCAATCCCCACCACGCCTCATTCGATAAAGACATAAAGTAGGATACTTAGGATGGAGCTACGCGAAAACTTGAAATTTTTCGAACGGTTTAGGCAAGGAATCTAAAGCGGGGGAAGAGTCCCGTAATAATCCACAATGATCTGAAACCCCAGAGCTAGGGGTACAAGCAACAATGTGGAAATATATGCAGTCAACCTCTTAGCTATATAGGATTTGCACGCTGCTTGTTCAACCATGTATACCAAATTCCCTAGCACCTTGTGATCGAACTAAAATAAAGGAGGTAAAACGGCGGTAGCGAGCTAGCGGGTGATCAAAAAATTTCTTCATGAAGTATAAAAAAAATTGGATATAATTTTTTAATCGCAATTATTAATCTATCTATTTCATGTAAAAGTTTCAAAATCCAAATTAAATTAAAATAAACACAAATCATCAAAAGAAGTAAGTGAATTAGAACCATTTAATAATCTACACTGTCAAATCATGGCTCACTCAAAATCAAACAACCAAATTTGTCTATACAGTATACACGAATGCATAGTATACGATTATCCATCTCACCGCTGGTAGACGGATTCCGAAGCTCCCGTTCGTTCCCACCATATCCATTGCTAAGGAGAAGGGTGTGAGTTTTATAAGTCGTACATTATCTCTCCATCTTCTTCTCCTTCTATGGTGGAGCAAACCTAGCTCATTGAATCTCTTGATGTGTTTCACTGGATCTTTGTCATCTTCTCTCCGTCAAATTGTAGAGTTGAAGTCACTATAGTTGCATTCAATGGCCTCTTGATCATCTCTAAGTTTTTTGCCAAATAGATGCTGCTTGTCACAAACTTTGAAGCTTTGGGACACAAAATACAAAGTCCCCACCTTGATTGCTTCTCGAAGTCCTTTCATTGCTCCCGAAAAGAAAACAATGCTATTTGTAATATTCTTGAACAAGCCGCTTCTTTCGAATACACAATTCAAGTTCATGGTAACGGCGCAAAAAAAAAACTTGATACAGAAAACACACAAATAATAAACCTAGGTGTACCTAGGGGCCTGTTTACTTTCATTTCTGTTTCCTGTTTTTGAGAAAACAGATGTTGAAAACAGGTGAAAACAACATTTTGTCGTTTCCGAAAACAGCAGGAAGTTGCCACTTTCTGTTTTCATAGTTGGAATCGAATAGAAAACAGAATGAAAAGTAAACAAGTTTTCTCATTTCGGTTGCCAAATTTATCACATGAAAACAGAAAACTAGAAACGAAAATGAAAGTGAACAAGGCCTAGGGTTATTGTGAATTAATCCATTAGATAATAGATAGTGAATGGGATGGAGGGTGAATGATATGGTTTTATAATGCTGGGTTTTGTATCTTATCCTCTCCTTTTTTAATTAATAGTCTATCTTTCATGCATCATTTTTGTATATTCTAGTTAATCAAGATAAATGGCTAAATTGCGAATTTGGTCACTTGAATTACTAGTAAATTTCACATTAGCCACTAGAATTACTTTATTCCATCGGTAGTCACTTAAATTAGGTTAACAGTTCAAGTTTGGTCACTGGCCGTTAGTCTCCGTTAACTTTTGCTGATGTGGCGGTCAACTCTAATAGTTGACCGTTAAATAAGTGACTTGGCAATTAAAAAATTAATAAAAAATAAAATGTAAACTTTTCTAATTTCCAACTCATTTTTACACCACCCATTGACAAAAAAAAACAACTTTTTTTGCCCTTCCCTTTCTTTCCTCTGCTCATGGACGAACCCATCCATTTTCCCGGCCAGCTCCTTCACGACTGGTTGAGAACAAGGCTAGTCGGACAAACTCACGACTGGTTGAGAACGGCGGTTGTCGTCGAGTTCCCCGCAATCCCCTTCTCCATCAATGGCTCTCCCTCTCAAAATTCAAACCCCACTCTCCCAAAATTTGAATCTTTTACACACAAAACAACAAACCCACAACGCTCACAAGGAAAACTCTTCGCCATTGCCCAATGAAGTGAAATAACAGAGCTCAGTCAGTCAAAAGAGAGAATCAAGATCGAACCTTTCAAATAATGGAAACGAATTCAATGCTCCTTTCCATAACCAGCAGCCAAGAAAATCTTCAATAGAAATCGAATCTCCAACCCCATTTTCCTTCTTCTCTCCGTCGATTTCCTTACAATGGAAGAAGAAGGGTCCACCGATTTCTCCGGCGGGCCTCCACTGGTCTCCCTCTCCTCTTTTACTCCGGCGCCGTCACATGCTTCCCTCCGCCACCGCCGCCGCTTCTCATACAACTTCGCCCCCGTCGCCTCGTGAGGGACCATGGCGTGGCTGTCGCTCCAGGGAAGGATGGTGAACGCGGAGGAAGCCAGCTCGTCGAAATCAATTGGTTTTATGGGGAAGGAAGAGGCCATGGCGTGGGAGCTGTTCACGCCGATGCAGAGGTTTCTCATTGTCGCCGCAACTGGTGAAATGGAAGCAAGCTGGTGAAATGAGCAGAGGAAAGGAAAGGAAGGGCAAAAAAAGTTTTTTTTTTTTTTTTTTTGTCAATGGGTGGTGTAAAAATGAGTTGAAAATTAGAAAAGTTTAGATTTTATTTTTTATTAATTTTTTAATTGCCACGTCACTCATTTAACGGTCAACTATTAGAGTTGACTGCCACATCAGCAAAAGTTAACGGAGACTAACGGCCAGTGACCAAACTTGAACTGTTAACCTAATTTAAGTGACTACCGATGGAATAAAGTAATTCTAATGGCTAATGTGAAATTTACTAGTAATTCAAGTGACCAAATTCGCAATTTAGCCCAAGATAAATATTGTAATCTTTGGGGGAGCAACAATTTTTTGTTTCTTTTCCTATTGGAATAAGTCTCTTATCGTTGGTTTGACTTCTAATCGACTAGTGTCCCTATCTTTCTACGATTTTTCTTTATTGACATGAAAATGTCCCTTGTATTATAGCGCATCTTGATGTCATTTTTGAGATATCTATGGCAAAAAGAAAACCGTAACAGTTGATAAATTTTTGCGTATGAACAGAAGTATTTGGTTGAGGTCTCAGAGATCTCGTAATGGATGATTCCTAATAATATGACGGGCATATTTAATTGAGTATAATGAATTTGCGCAAATCTGAAATTCCTTGGTATGAAGTTCAGTTTTTATCATATTTTAATTGAAAAATCGAGTTATTAGAATAAATAATTCTTTCTAGTGTCATAAATATTCATAATAGCGGGAAGCAGCTAGATACGAGTGAATATATAGGATCTTTACAAGTCAAGTCACAAAAAGAAAAAAAGAAAGGAAAGATGGTCGATCAGAAATCGATCCAACAATAAGAGAGTATGCTTTCCCACGATGTGAGCAACCTTGTCACATATTTCAATATATACTTCTTTCTAACCTTAATAACTCAACAAACCGTACCTAAAAAAAAAATAAAAAATAAAAAAAGATGGCATAGGGAAGGTGACAACCCCGCCGCACGAGTACTATATGAAGCTAGAAACCAGCAGTTCCCATGGCTCCATGCACAAAGAACCTCACCTTTTTCTGTTACCTCATTTTCATTCTCATCACCGCCATTACGCAACTCCCTCAACCTCTCTCTATATTACGCTTTTCTCCGTTATTTTATCACCATCATCATCTCCATCACTACCTCCACAAACCTCTCCCACCCCATATTCATTCATACTCAATTAACCACCGCAATGTCGAGGGAGCAGGACCTGCTCGCCGCCGACATCGTCGACCGCGGCGTCGTCGAGGGCTCCCAGGCCTTCTCCGTCAGGGTCCGCCGCCGCAGGCTGCCGGACTTCCTCGGCTCCGTCAACTTGAAGTACGTCAGGCTCGGTTACACGTACCTCCTCAGCCACGGGGTTTACTACATACTGGCCGCCCCGGTCCTGCTGGCGATCTTCGGCGTCCACGTTGGCAGGCTGACGTGGCAGGATCTCTTCCCCGAGTGCCACGCTGTCGATGCTCTTTTCATCGTGGGATTGTTGGGGTTGATGCTTTACATCTACTTCGACTTGGCCCCGCGATCGGTTTATCTCGTCGATTTCGCCTGCTACCGCCCGCCAAATGAACTCAAGGTACGTACTAATATTCCTCTGTTTTCGGAGTAGGATGAATCGCGAAAAAGTTAATGGTTTATGGTTCAGCGGTTAACCATTACCAAACTATTGGTTAAGGATTGTTGATAGAACGGTTCAGCAATCTTGGGAGTTCGCGTACTAATCTTTGTTTGTTCTCTTTGAGTTTTGGTTGCTTTGTCCAAACTTCTTTCGGTCTTTTCGTTATCATGTGCTTGTGTAGGAGTTCGTTTTATTTTACTTTCTCTTATTTTTGTATGTAATAAAGTTCATCGTTCATTAAAAATAATATATAAAAGACTTATATAATTATTTATTTAGGACTGAATTTATCACTACTCGTGAACAAATTCAAATCCATATCATCCATCACAAAGTTCTAGCAAATCATTCAAACTATATGATAAAAAAATAATAATAAATTCTTGAATTTATTAATATATAGGGTGTCAGCCCTTAATAGACCACATAAAGACAACAAACGGGTTAAAAACGAGGAACGAGAAGTAGAAATAAAATTAGTAATTCATGTTGGAGGATATTAGTTTACGTTAAAGTTTATTTTTTTCTTAAAATCTTTCATGGTCAATGATAAATTCAGTCTTATACCAGTCAAATCGGGGTAATTACCCCACCTGATTTCATGTCAAAACCGTTACATACCATTCAGTCCATTTCTAACTATCCAAACAAATGAACCGGACCACTATATGGTTCTACTACTCTAACCAGTACCGTTTTTCTAGTTCGATTGTTAATGTGCCTAATTCTGCATGCATTTTTTTTATGGGTGTTTGACTTCGGTAAGGAAAAATGTTTCAACAAAATTATTAATGTCTACGTTCTGCTTCGCAGATTTCGAAGGCGGAGTTCATCCGCCTGGCCAAGCAATCCGGCAACTTCACCGACGCCTCCATCGAGTTCCAGCACCGCGGCCTCAAGAACTCCGGCCTCGGCGACTCAACCTACATGCCCCGCTCCGTCTTCCGCCCCGCCCCCCACAAAATCACCCTCCGCGACGGCAGGGAGGAAGCCGCCATGGTCATGTTCGGAGCCGTCGACGACCTCCTAGCCGCCACCCAAATCCGTCCCAAGGACATCAACATCCTCGTCGTCAACTGCGGGGTCCTCAACACCACCCCGTCCTTAGCTTCCATGGTGATCAACCACTACAAGCTCAAACACAACATCAACAGCTTCAACCTCGGCGGGATGGGCTGCGCTGCTGGAATCATCGCCGTCGATCTCGCCAGAGATCTCCTCACTGCTTACCCTGGCTCCCACGCTCTGGTTGTCAGCATGGAGGCAGTGAGCTACACTTGGTACAGCGGGAACCGGACCGACATGCTGCTCCCCAACTGCTTCTTCAGAATGGGTGCTGCTGCAATGCTCCTCTCCAGCTGCAGGATCGATCGATGGCGGTCCAAGTACGAACTCAAGCAGGTAAAGCATGACCGTCAGTATATAGCAGCACGACTCTGTTCTCAGTTCTGGTTAACTTGAAACAAATATGCCGCGAAATTTGCAGCTGGTGCGAACGCACAAGGGGATGGACGACCGGAGCTTTGGAAGCATCCGCGTAAGAGAGGACGCGGAAGGCAAGAAGGGGATATCGGTCAGCAAGGACGTGATCGAAGTGGGAGGGCACGCACTGAAAGCCAACATCACGACTCTAGGGCCACTGGTTCTCCCTGTATCTGAGCAATTCCACTTCTTCACCAACCTGCTGTTCAAGAAGAAGGAAACCAAGCCTTACATACCGGATTACAAGCTGGCGTTCGAGCACGTATGCATCCTGGCAACGAGCAAAAAAGTGCTCGACGAGCTGCAGAGTCACCTGGAGCTCACGGAGGAGTACATGGAGGCGTCGAGGAAGACACTGGAGCGGTTCGGGAACACTTCCAGCAGCAGCGTGTGGTACGAGTTGGCTTACCTGGAAGCGAATTCCCGTGTCAAGAGAGGGGACAGGATTTGGCAGATTGCTTTCGGGTCGGGTTTCAAGTGTAACAGTGTCGTCTGGAAGGCGCTCAGGAATGTCAGGAAACCCAGGGTTAGTCCATGGGTTGAGGAACCTAATTAGTAACTAGCAGTAGCTAAGAGGAAAGTTTTTTTTTAACTAATAATGTGAAACAGCAGAAACCAGACCATATTGGGACTCCATGTAATGCAACGTTTACCTTCTACTTCCAGTGACCATAGATTCTACAGCCTATGTGAAATAATCATCAAAAAGAGGAAGATGTCTTCTTGGTGTAAATTCATTATGACTATATAGGAAAGATATGTAACTGCAACTGCAAACCGGGTAGATTTCGTTAATCATCTGTGCAATTGATCTTGGCCAAAACAAAAATTCACAAGTCATTAGGCCACACTACTGCAAAGTCATGGAGAAGCTACATATCCTCCCATTGAAGGACCAACACGGGGCCAAATGTAAAAATGGAGAGCACCAAAGTATGTTCATCGGCTCAAAACTTGCTCATAAAGCCACACAATGCAAGGAGCAGCTAAAGGTGCTACTGAACATGAGCCCTACGCATGATATAGCTCCAATAGCCAGCATTTTCCATGCAGCCCTTCCACTGGCGTCCAGCTTTCACACCGCCTAATTAGACTTCAGGTGCAACCACAATCTGCATATGTATTGTTGCTAATATCAAGCATACATAAGAAAGTGAGAAGCTATTGAGTTTACTTGCTAAACAAGACAGTGTGTGGTTACCCTGCAGTCAAGGGGTGGGTCTGCATGGACTGAACTGTCAGATACCCCCAGCCCCGATGCATTTACAGCCGTCAGACCAATGCCTGAGGCGTTATTCACAAAACATCACCACATGTTGATCCAATGCTTATCAACACGCGGGGCGATTCATTGATCCAATAGCTGTAAACGAGCCGAGATCTGACAGTATCAGCCCACACAGATCCACCCCTCGTTGCAAAGTAGCCAACTTAAACAAACGTGCCTATTTCCACTCACAAATTATCTAAACTACCACTCAAGAAGTTCTGTATGCTACATCCTACAAAAAAGAATAGTCGTAATGAGGAAAAGGGATACCTCTAGGAAGTAGGAGCCTCTAAACTTCACAGAAATGTCAGCAAAAAGAGAGCAAAGGCAGCAACTAAGCCCAGTTGTTTAGGTAGCCTTCCATCAGCACCTCCATAGTATGGCTGGATCATTACATCAAACCTGCAAGTTCCTTGTGAAGGGTTTGTTTTCACGATCATCGACAGATTCGGAAACTTGCAGGCCTCATCTAGTTGATTGTTGATCTGGAAGTAACTGTTGAACGCATAGGAAATGTTTCCCTTGCCATCCAAAGTCCCGCATGAAGTGCCATAACCTAGCTTAGTGCAGTCAGCAAGGCTACACGCATAGCTAACGCTTGCCGCCACGCTAGGATCATCAAGCCTCGCATTAGGCCTCATCACACACCATTTGTTCTCCTGGTACTGAATGCCTCTCGCTGGAAGCAGCCGGCCAGAGTTTGTCGTCCCGAGGTTGAGCAGATACTTTGGCTGTCCATCGTACGTAAATATCCCCCAGTGCCTTTCAAAGTTCCCCGGATCAATACTCTTGGCATCCTCATCGATCAAGCTGAATAGATATGCGTCAATTGGCCCTGGCCTCAATGGAGTTCCTTTCCCACCTGACCAATGTAAGATAAAAATCCCAGTAACGGTTTTCCAATTATTTTTCTTGATTTCACATAAAATTCAAGATTTTGTTTCAAGAAACAGTTGGTATCAACAACTCAAGTTATTGGAACAGAAAACATTTCAATAACAGAGCCAGTTGGTCCCAATAACTTGAGTTGTTGAGAGAGATTCAAATATAGGTCGTATATCACTTACTAACATTTTTACTACGACGCACCTGCTATACGTGACATGAAGCCCTGATTGAACCGGCGAGCGTACTCCATATTGGCATTCCGATCACCATCGGTTGGCCACCCGATCTCTCCGATGATAATCGGCATGTTGCCGAACCCATTTTTCTGCAAGGTGTGGACCAAAGTGTCGAGGTTGGCGTCCAACATGTTGTAGTAGTATGTTCCACCGTCATTTACTGGGGACGCATTGCCGTCGAAGAAAGCGTACTCGGCGGGGAAGTTGGAGTCGATGTAGAGACTTATGAAAGGGTATATGTTGACGGTGAATGGCGAGCCAGTGTCACTCAACAGCTTGACGATGGGGAGCATGTATTCGTGGATGTCCTGACGGAAGTCGCCGCCAGATGGGAGGCTGTTTGCGCTCTCGTAGACGTCTGCGTTCATAGGGACGGTAACCTTCACTTGGCTGCTGAGCCCAGCTTTTATGAGTGCGGATTGGATGTTCTGGAGGGCTGGTAAGGTCGTGCTGAGGAAGGTTCCATTGTATGTTTGCAGAAAGGGCTCGTTTCCTACAGCAACGTATCTGAAACACAGAAAAAGGAGAGAAATGGAGGTTAGTAAATGAACAAAGGAAAACCCAAGTTGGCATGGGGGAAGTTTGTTGTAAGAGGTCCAAGAATGAATCATGTGCCATTAACTGATTACTATGAATCATGTATCATTCCCTTGTAGTTAATATGAAGGAAACTTGCTTACAATGTTAGCCATTAACTGATTACTATTAGTAAGAAGGCAGTGGCTTTCAGGAAGATAGAGACTCTAGATTGTGCACTGCTTCTACTCAAGTTCTGTACTGTTGGTTCTGTTGCTCTAACAGTTCATGGTTGCCTCTTTGGTTACTAGAGTGCCCGGATTAATCCTAACGCTTCTGCTTATCAGCCTATGGTATGCGATAAGAAGGCTTCAAAGTGCCAGAAAGGGTATGTTCGGGCATCAATGCAGAGAGACTTGTGGTGGAATTAATATAGGAGTTAAAAACTATGAGTTCCATCCCTGACCAGAAATAAATCCAAAGACCCTTATGTTGAATTTGACAGCATTGTCCCTAAGGAGGAGCAGCTAGTTTGATTAAACCGCTCTGGTTTCAGACAAGAAGTTCTTAAAATGTGCAGAAGGTTACAATCGTACAGTACATAGAGAAAATAGGTTGTGAATGATCTTAGGGTGTGATAGTAGCAAGTATTGTAATAGTAACAGGATGCAGACAATTAAAAGGTTGATGCTATTTTGCCTGCCTTTGATGAAATGAAATGCTAATTCATCAATAAGAAATTTGACAGCATTGAATGTTCCATAATACATATGCACAAGATTACGCTCACAGGACTGTCTCTGTCAAATAGATAATCGGGTGCAACCCTACAAAGCACATAACTAAGCAGCTACTGGCTTAACTCAATCATGCTCAAGCTCAAAACCATGACTGTAATGTTTAATGTGGGACCACATCCCCCAGATTAAAAAATGATGATCCATCAATGGCTTTCAGCATCAAGAAACAAACAAAAACAAAGTCAAAGAAAGACAAGGAAAGTCTTTCGTATTGATCAATCGTACCAAGATTTCTGACTATCAAGCTCAAGATTTCGAGCCATCTTCCCTTTTGCATTTATGGCAAACCGAGTAAATATAGAAAAAAAGCAGAAAAGGGGGCTGCAAAGAACTTACCTGATGTTGACATTATCAGTGGTGATATGCTTGGAGACATTCTTGGAAACCCATTCCTCAGCATTCTTCATCTTGGCAGCCAGAGGAGCAAGCATATCATTTGGGATGCCAACCATGACTTCAATCCCAGACTTCCCCAGGGCTCTAAGGGTATCATAATCTGCATCAAAAAGCTTGACCTTTTGGATCCCATTATCCCTCAACAGCTTTACTACTATTTCAGGGTTTAGAGGGTGAGTTGCTTGTGTGCCCCAGTTAGCACCTATGCCACTTCCCACACTTAACACTGAGAAAAGGGCAACTAACCTAAGAAGCAACGATACCAAACCCATCTCCCCAAACACAGATAGAAATCCCAGTTGAGTTGCCAAAATCAGAAAACTGGGTTTGATGCCAAAAGGGGATTGCTCAAATGGGTGTGAGGCAAAAAAAGTGATATCAACGTCAAGATGGAAACAAAACCAACAAAACAAAAACAACAATGGAAAAGGAAAGGTAAAGGAGAGGGCTTTAAGGTTGCTGTGAAAAAAGTAGGGAACACCCAAATACAGAAGTGCAGTTGAAATCCAGTTGGGAAAGAAAAGGATAAAGTGATGCCAAGTGAAGAGGCAACAGCGAGCTGATCTGGAGAATCAGCGTAGCAAAAATAGGCAACAGCCTGTTAATAGCCGAGTCTTTTTTTCCCCCCCTTTCTATCCCTCCCACGGATTTAGCTTGGCAGGATAGCTCAAGAAAAGGAAAGAAAACTCAAATCAGATGTGGTGCAAAAGAATCTGTTTCAAGCCAGAAACATTGGAGTTCTGGAGCTTGGTGGTGGAGTTACAGAGCTCAAGAAAGAACAGCATCCCAGGTTGGGTGGGTGGGGAGTCTCGAAAGCAGACGAAGTTTAAGAACAGACATGCAGTCATTAACTGCAAAAGGGAAATGAAATTGGGAAAGGATAAACAAGTAAACAACAGTAAGATTTGAAAATTACGGGAGTAAGCAGCAGAGAGATGGTAAGGTTAAAATAATGAAAAACAAGAACGCTGGAAGAGAGAGGAGCAGAAGAGAACCGGGTGAAGAAAATGAAAGGAACGTTGGAGAAGTATGAACAACTTGGTAATATAATAATGTAAAAGATTTCACTTATATATAAAATAAAGAAAAGAGCTCGAGAATCTATCTCGTCCGTCGTTTCATCCACTGATGCTGCTGCTCCGCTGTCAGTAGTAGGGGTGGGCGTTCGGTCGGTTCGGTTCAAACCGAACCGAACCAGGATATGCCGATTTTCCGAAATCCCCGACGCCCTAACCGAATTCGAACCGAGTTGTAATTCGGTTCGGTTCGACCGAACCGAATTACAACTCGGTTCGGTTCGGTTTGAAGGGTCAGAACCGAATTGCTACTGCTGCCCCTCGTTTTCTAAAGGGTTAAAGGTCGTCCTAAAAATTACTAACTATCGTCCTAACTTAATACGTAAATTACTGAATTACCCTTTCTAAAATTCAAAAATAAACCCTAAGCAAACAACCCCTTACCCCCTTCCTCTCCCCCGACACAGACAACTCACCCCCCCTCCCCCCGACAACAAGCAGCGCAGCCCACGCCGCCGGAGTCGTCCGCCGCCGCAGCCCACGCCGCCGGAGTCGTCCGCCGCCGCAGCCCACGCCGCCGGAGTCGTCCGCCGCCGCAACCCACGCCGCCGGAGTCGGCGTCGCGTCAGTCCGCAGCGTCGTCCGCTGCCGCAACCCACGCCGCCGGAGTCGGAGTCGCGCAGCGTCGTCGCCAGCAGTCACCGTCTTCGCCCCCAGCGCCAGCTGTCGCGTGGTCGCCCAGCCGTCGCCGTCAGCCCTCCTCTCGCCTGTCGTCCGTGCTCGCCGGAGAAGAAGGTAAAGCTCCGCGTCGCCTGCAACCGAACGAAGACTTCGGTTGAGCCATGGTCAAACCGAAGTCAACATTCGGTTGAGCCATGGTCAAACCGAAGTCAACTTTCGGTTTGACCATGGCTCAACCGAATGTTGACTTCGGTTTGACCATGGCTCAACCGAATGTTGACTTCGGTTTGACCATGGTCAAACCGAAGTCAACATTCGGTTTGGTTGATTTTTAAATAATTTTAATTCAATTAATTAATAAAAATTGTTATTAAATATTGTGAATTATGTAATAATTAGAAATAATTGTAGTTAATTATAAATAAGTTGTACGGTTTATAATTTATTATAAAAATTAAATTCGAATATTTTTATGATTATGAAAAAAATATTGTGAATAATGTAATAAAAATTATTAAAAATTATCTGAAATTTATAAAAAGTATCAAAATTTAGAAATATAATCTATAAATTTGTAATTAATGTTACAAAAATATTAGAATAATGGGAAAATTAAAAAGTAGTTGAAATTAGACAAAAAGACTAAGAATTTTGTAATTAATGTTAATAATAAATTATCAAAAAGTTAAAAAAAATTAGAGAAAATTATCAGAAAATGTTAATGCATTTGATTATCATTAATTGTAAATCTTTTTTTTTTTTTTGAAGATGTCTGGACATGGAATAGGCAAACCGTACATGAATAAGAAAAGAATGGAAGAAAAAACGGAAGGAAGAATGGAAGGTCGTGCTTGTAGACTTACAGCGACCGGTAGAAAAGAAAATGAAGAAAAAAATCCACGTAAGGTTAAGGGGAAGAAGAAGAAGGCAGAAATAGTGCGTCCCGACGGTCGCCCTACTATGGGACAGTTATCTCTTAGTCAAAGTACTACCTCCACCCCTACTCCTGAGGATGCGACGCCGTGGGAGGCTAATTGGAGTGATTCGGTTTCTATGGACGACGACGACGATGATGATAATGATGATGATGATGTGGCTGTTGATGAGGTTGGGGATGCCCCACCTGAATCTGATGTAGGCATCGGTAAGAAGAGACGAGTTGGGACATCTTCTACAGCTTCTTCGCACTTTCCACAGCGTGGGCTAGATGGACGCTACGTTGCGAGACGTAGTAGTGAGGAAGACGGTGATGGTAAGAAGAGGAAGAAGGGAGTAAGGGGGGACATGTCGTGGCGTCTGACATCGGAGTCTCAGATGTGTTCAGGTGGACCTGTGATTCCCGATGTGATCCCTAGCTTTGGAGGTCACATTGCCTTTGCACTGTGGACTTCCCCAGCACAGGATCGTGGGTTGTTGGATTGTTGTCATAGATCTGGTACTGTGGAGTCTTTGAGGAGGTATGAGTGGAGTTCAGAGGGTTCTCAGAAGGTGGTTGAGGGCACAGGATTGTCCCACTTGACAGGCTGTATGATGCAGCATTTAGATACAGCTTTGATAACGGCATTTGTGGAGAGATGACAGCCGGACACGAACACCTTCCATATGCCATTTGGAGAGATGTCGATTCTTCTCCACGACGTGCATCACATTCTTCGTATTCCAGTTGAGGGGGAGCTGATGAGAGATGATCCGGATCCAGATGTTCTTAAGTTAGACATGCATGATCTAGTTCGGGTCCCGGTGGATGGTCCTGTTGGTGGTAAGTGGAAGTCGAAGTGGTTCCTTAATGGTGGTATTCACGCAGAGGGATTGTTGGTGCGTGGACGAGAAATGAAGATTATGGACTTGGAGGTGCAGACTTACTTGTTTGTGTTGTTGGGATCCACACTTTTTGTGGATAAGAGTCGCGATCGCCTCCGTCCTGCGATCAATGTATTTCTGAAGGACCAGCGACGAGTGGCCGGTTACGCCTGGGGAGCTGCTGCACTCGCCTATCTCTACAGACAGCTAGGGATGGCCACACGAGTGGGGAGTAAGAGTATTTGTGGTTGTTTGACTCTGCTTCAGGCGTGGATATATGAGTACTTTCCACTCTTCCGTCCGAGCCAGATTCTCCAGGCTCCAGATGCTCCGCGTGCTTCCTCGTGGGTGTGTCACCGCTTTGCAGGTGGTGATGATGCTAGACAGCGCTTGGTACGGTATCGACAGATGTTGGATGAAATGTCAGGGGAGGATGTGTCTTGGACTCCTTACGGGCGAGATGCTGGCACGGAGGTACTACGCTCTTTGTATACTGGTGTCATTCGCTTTGCTGACGTTGCTGAGGGTTATGATCCTGCACGGTGTCGCCGACAGTTTGGGTACCGACAGACTATCCCCCGTATGATGATGGTTCCCAAGGATGTGTACCGCCCAGCTTCTTGCAGCACCTACATCGTTTTCTGGGAGGGTAGCATGGATCAGTTATGGGGCAACTTGCCGTCTCATTTTCTACACATAGCGATTGATTCTGACTTGTGCGAGTATCCATCTGAGGCCGATGAGGATTACATGGACTGGTACCGGACTCGATCGCACCCACGGATCATCAATCCGGACTCTGGTGGAGTGTCTCTACAGCGGCCAGTGCTAGTCGATGAGGTTAGTTATGTCATAATTGTTCAATTTTTAATGTATTGTTAATATGCTTTTTTTTCCATTCCTGACATTATTTTGTGTATTTACAGTTGAGGAAGCAGATTGTGGAGAAGCTTGGTCCTGTGTTGGCGGTGAAGGACAAGGATCACTATGTGGAGCATGCATCTGAGTACTACGATATGATGAGTGAGGCTCGCGAGTTGTATGAACAGTTAGTCGGAAAGACTCCTTAGTGGAGTGTGGCATTTCTAGATTGTTATCCTTGTACTTTATTTTTATTTGGAATTGCTAGTTTGTTTATTTTTATTTGGAATTGCTAGTTTGTTTATTTTTATTTGGAACTGCTAGTTTGTCTTTGCCCGTGAGATGATCTAACTTTTGGAATTTTCAGATGATTGGACTTTGTTTCTTTTGCATTTCTAAAATAGTAAATCAAGAGTTGCATCAAATACAATAACTACAACTACATCTAACCATCAACCGGCTGGGTTTAATCTATCATAAAATTGGCGTTCTTGTGAGAAGAATTGGTCCCAACCATGGACACTAGGATCGTGATAAATAGGCCAAAGCCCATTAATCGGAGGCAATGGCACTTGACCAGGTCGAAAGTCAAGACGCACCCAATGACATCCCGTAAAATGTAGTGATACGATCCCACGTGGTCTTGTTACTCCTGGTGGGGCAATCACAGGTAGCACGGTATAACGACCGCCTTGACTATAGACAGCAATTACCCATGAATGCAATGTGGCAAAGACGAAAAGATCCACATTATCCATCCAGTGGGTAACGCCACAACCACGATTTTGAGTCCACCTGCAACGCCGAAGCCCATTATCTATTCCGTCGGCAATTCCATCATAGTATGGTCTGTAAAGCTCAGGTCGGGCTTCAAGCTCTTCTACAACCTCGCGTCTCATCTGCAACCAATTGTTTTGGGACCCGGTAAGTGCTTGTGATATTGCTCGAAATCCGCAATGTCCATCCGGTTCTGGGTTGAACCAACCACGAATGTATGGTTGCACGTATGTTTCCAAACAATACAACCATGGGTAACTCCGCCAACCAGTATTGGGAGTTCTGATAACCCTCCAAGGGGCACCATCTGTCCCAAAATACACAACACAATGAATTAATACAAGAGGTATACAACATCTAATCATCTAAAATAGGGATACTACTTCTAACCTGTATCATTATGAGTATCCGGCTCCGTCTCATTCGTATTTGTGGACTCAAAGTTGGTGTGTGCATCAGGGATACCACCTAATATCATTTACAAAAATAAGTTAGTTGTACATCATATTCTACACAATTGCACATAAATTTCCCAAAAAAGTACAACCTACCTGTCCTCTGGTCATTGTCCGGTGTTGTGGTCGAAGGTATCGAACTTCTCCTCCCCCGTCTCCTCTCCACATGCTCGAAGTGAGAAAGGTTTCGCGTGGTGGATGTCCTCGGGCGACCGGGTCGGGGCTGCCCCCCATGCGGCTCATCAATGCCATCATTTTCAGGATGAAGATGACTCCGAAGTAGGCCAATAGCCCCTCGAATGGTCTCATCTCCCCTATCAAGAACCTCCTGTACTAGACCTTGGAAGACATCACGATGGTAAAGACTATCGTCATCCCACTCTGCCCGAGTAGGAGGTTCACGATAGTTCATAATGGTCCAAAAAGCTAACACCTCAGATGGGGCAATGTCCCTCTTTTC